CCGCCGAGCCGATTGTTACACAGTGTCGGTGTCTGTTTCAGTTGTTATCAGGAACCCGTACCCTATACTATCGCGAGCGCTCTCTGGCAGGGCTCTCCGCATTGCATCAGAGGCAGGCCAAGATGCAGATATCAAAACCGCAATCCCGCTAAGGAAGTGGCTTTTGCATCACTCAGCCAGACACGATCCCCATTCCGGCTCGTATTGCATTACAGTGACAGGCTACCATTCCAGGGTCACCACAGCCGCCTAATTGTTGTGTGTGTCGTTGTTCATTCGTCCCCCTAGGGTCCAGGTGACTCAGGCATTGGCACGGTTCACGGCAGGTCTACAATCTCCCATTTTGCAGCTGGGTACTACGTCTGAGGTTTCCGCAATGGCTTACGCTGCTACTTCTTCGCCTTCCACCCTCAACGGCGACACTCAAGCAAGTTTAAAACTCACTGGCTCACTCTCTCAACCCCCCAAACTACATAATGTCATTACCTCAATCCCGCCTGCCTCCAATCCCTCATCGGCAACTATCTACTCCTCTTACTCTGCCACCCCAAACTCTACTCACTCAACATACAACTACTCAAATGCTTCAAGCCCATCAGGCACACCCTTGCATATCCCCTCTGACTCTCTTCGAGGGCGACTGTCCACTGCCCCTCTTATACCGCCTGGCACTTTCGAGCTTGGAGAGTCCGAGATGACTGTCCCTGGCTACGCCATCACCTCTGGCTCGGCAGATATCATCACCCAGAACACGAACAAAGGTCCCGGTTTGATGCGTAGAATCTCACGTGGAGCAGCGAGCAAGCTCACGAGAAGACGCACTTCCACCACCCACAATGACAAGCGAGATCGAAGCTCCGGACCGGTTATCATGCGCAGACGAAGCGATAGCAAGACTGCTCAGAACAGCTGGGAGAACGCTCTGGAGTCTAGTAACGAGGAAGACAGCAATGATGCCTTGGAAACCCTCGGTGCTTGTGGCCCCGAAGCATCCAGCCTACCGAATGATGCCTCAACGACGGCTTCCCGCAACTGTGGTGTCGTTGCGCCTAAAGTCGACGGGGCAATCCAACGTGGCACGATATTAACCAAGGTGACGAAAAAGCGCCGCAAACAAGTGCGTTTCTTCCTGGACCTCGATGCTGGCAAAGTCTACTGGGATCCCTCCAACCCAGCAAAACGGTTCTATATCGACGACGTGAAGGAAATTCGTGTGGGTGCCGATGCGCGGAACTACCGCGAGGAGCACCAAGTCCCAGAAGAACTCGAAAGTCGATGGTTTACAATTGTTATTGCTGATGCCGAACGCTTCAAAGGCCGTACGGTCAAAACAATGCACCTCATCGCTCCGAATGACCACATTCTTGAACTTTGGACCTCGACCCTCGAACATATCTCCCGTTACAGAATAGGTCTCATGGCTGGTCTGGCTGGATCCGGACAGAGTGAGGCGGTCTTGAAGGCTCATTGGCAGCGTGAGATGCAATTGTTATACTCCCAGGGTCTCAAGCCAGGCGACCAGGAGAGCCTTGATTTCGAAGCTATAGAGGGTGTCTGCCGCAGCCTGCACATCAATTGCTCGAAGAACATGCTGCGTGCCCAATTCTCGAAGGCTGATATCAACAACAAGGGCAAGCTGTATTTTTCCGAGTTCAGTGACTTCGTTGCTAGATTGAAGGAACGGAAAGATGTGAAAATGATCTTCAAGGACAATGCTTTCAACTCCGACGGCCTCACTCTCGACGAATTCCTGTCGTTCCTTCGTGATGTTCAGAATGAGGACGTTGACTCGGATCTGGCCCATTGGACATCTATCTTTGACAAGTTCGTCCGCAAGTCAAAACCACGCACGCCGAGCATTCCAGAACATGGTGACAACCAGGTCTCCCGAATGAGTGTAGATGCTTTCTCTTCCTTCTTGGCCTCCTCGGCAAATGGGATTTATGCCTCCCGAGCTCCCCAATCTAGATTCGACCGACCCTTGAATGAGTACTTCATTTCAAGCTCACACAACACTTACCTCCTGGGACGTCAGGTGGCTGGTGCATCCAGTACAGAAGCCTACATTAGCGCATTGTCGCAAGGCTGTCGTTGTGTGGAAATAGACTGCTGGGATGGCGCGGATGGTCGGCCCATTGTCTCTCACGGAAGAACCATGACCACCAGCGTGCTATTTGCGGATTGCATCACAGTCATCAACCGGTACGCGTTCATCAGCAGTGACTATCCTCTTATCCTCTCTCTTGAGGTCCATTGTTGTCCCGAGCAACAGTTGGCCATGGTGAGAATTATGAAGGACACCTTCAAAGATCAACTTGTCCTGGAGCCGCTCCTTAATAACACATTCGTTCTGCCCTCGCCCGAGGATCTCAAAGGTCGCATCTTGGTCAAAGTCAAGGTGTGCGACGAGCCCCAAGCAGACATGCGTCAAGAATCGTCAAATTCGATTATGAGCTCTGGTCGCAAACGCAGTTCAAGCTCTCCGTTCATTCGGCCGATGGTGCCCGAGCATCAAATGACCTTCAATCTCCCTCCGCTAACAAGCTCGACCACCGTTGGCCCGGACAGCGCCGATACATTTCTGACACACGATCGACGCTCTTTTACGACCACTAGCATTAGCAGTGCTACAGAGGACAGTGACACCAACATGTTTTCGACGAGTCAAAAGGAGCGAAGACGAAGCCAAAAGAGCAAGATAACCAAGCCTCTGTCGGACCTGGGAGTCTACACCCGCGGCTATAAGTGGCATAGCTTTTTCTCTCCGGAAAGTCAGCAATACAATCACGTGTATTCCTTTGCCGAGCGCTCTTTCGAGGGCATCTGCCGCGACATGGACAATAAAGCTCTGTTCGAGAGGCATAATAGGAAATATCTCACCAGAGTCTATCCCTCGGGGTTCCGCTTACGGTCGTCCAACTTTGATCCACTCAAGTTCTGGCGACGCGGTGTGCAAATGGCGGCCCTAAATTGGCAGACTTACGACGTCGGCATGCAAATGAACCATGCAATGTTTGCAGCAGGAACCGACCGTACAGGCTATGTTCTCAAGCCCGAGTCCCTCCGCACTGTGCGTCTTGGTGAAGAGGCAGCGAAGGGCAAGGAGAGGAAACTCGTCAGATTCTCGGTCGATGTTATCTCTGCGCAACAACTGCCCCGCCCCCGCAGCCTTGGACCAGAGGATTACATCAATCCTTATGTCGACATCGAGATGTTCAGTGCGGATGATCGTGGTCAAAGCTTTGTACTTGGCGAGGGAGGCATGGATGCCTCGGCTCGCAATGGCATGTCAGGGATCGGGTATCCTCACCGTCGGCGTACAAAAATCGAACAGAGCAATGGCTACAGTCCCATCTTCAATGATCGATTCAAGCTCTCGCTCGAAACCAAGTACCCCGACCTGGTCTTTGTACGTTGGACGGTCTGGAGCTCTTTGGATGGTCGCAGCGCAGGCAACAATAACAGTGTGCAGCTGGCCACATTCACAGCTAAACTCAGCAGCCTTTCGCAAGGATACCGCTACCTACCCCTATGTGACACCGGTGGTGACCAGTACCTGCTTTCCACGCTGTTCTGCAAGATAACCAAGGAAGACCCTGTCCCAGTTCAGCGCCTTGATGCGGAAGAGCTCCGCGCTGAGCGAATGGGGATCTTCCGTCAGATCGGCCAGTCCGTCTTCAAACGAGCCTCTTCCACCGAAAGGGACAGGGACACTGGCTCCGACAAAGGCAGTGAAGCTCCAATGACCCCCGACGATAATACCTCTCCTACATCCCCCGCGCTGACACCGACGGTTTCGGCAGCTTCTACTACTTCATCTTTACCTCCGTGAATTGCTTGACATCAGATTTCACTGTGCATAATTATGCTCGACTGACGCCACGCCTTCACTCCTGCCGTCTCCTCTTAGCCAGCTCACCTTATCATCATGATCTTGTTCATCTCGTTCCATGTGCAAGTATAGGAATGGCGTTACCCCAGCTTTACTGCATTTGATTTGTGTTATTATTTCGTTTGCATTTGTGTTTTTGGAGCCTTGGGTGCATTTCAGCTGCAGAGGAAGCCACAGGTGGGCTGGATGGAAAGCATCATCTCGCAACTGGTTGTTTTGTTCTATGAGGCGGTGACAGATGCATGGCCACTGTTTAGCGTCAGGATGGCCGAACGGTGTTTCTGTGTCTTGTGTTTTGATTTGTTATTATACTATTCTGCCGGAGTACCCTGATTTATGTGGCGATACCCTCTGCTTTGAGTCTGTCTTAGTCTTTTCCTTGTTGACCGCACTCCGGTGCGAGTTTTATCCGTATCCTATTTGTTTATTTTGCGTGGATTCTTCCTGGATTTTGCATGTGCTACACTGCGGTTCGGTCCTCTGGCCTACGACCTCAACTCCAGGTGGCGCATCAATCATGACAATCATCATCATCATTTGCATTTCGGTTGCGTGGGCATCGACGGTGGAGGAGTTACGCACAGGAAGTCGAGCATTGTTAATGAGGCTGAGGTCTTCTTGGGGCGACATTGCATCTTCATTATCTCAACATCTCTCCTCTGTCACTTTTTTTTTCGGGGGGGGGAATCGATACAGCCCTCAGTGTGGAGGCGAATCATGACTTGATGTACTTGTCTTTTCAATCTCCTGTTTTAACACGAATCATGCGGCTGGGTCGCTATTTTTGCAAGCTCAATTCGATGACAAATTGAAGAACGATCATGATCACTGGATTGGTTTGGTGTATGCATGATAGTATTTTGTAAACATTTAAGTACTATACTTCGTACAATCATGTAGTTGGCCGAACTCCAACCTGGCTCGGATGACCTGCCCAGTTCTCGGTCCACCTGCCCACCGCCGGGCTCCCGTAAAGGCAACGTGACGACTTTCCCGACCGCCCTCCGCATCCACGCCATTCATTTACTTGGGTTTCGAGTCTAGATTGCTATCTCCGAACCGACCCTCAATTCGACAGTTACATATTTCCTGAAGCTCTCTCGCGACAATGGATCCATTCTCAGCAGAAGGCGGTATGTTCCTCGACCCAATTGCACATGCAATGCCCGCCTCACCCTCAAGCTCCTCATCCATCCCCCGCAACCCGTTCTTGAGTGATACCAGTCAAGCAAACCCTCCTAGTCACTAACCAACCCCGTCTCCTCCCCAGAATTAATCAACATCCACAATGCCTTCCACCAAGGCCAATACCCCGCCGTGCTCGACTTCGACACGTCGGCCCTCTCCCCGGAGAACCAGCTGCCCGCCCGCGTCCTGCAGCTCTGCGCCCAGATCGCTCTGGGCCAGGCCGCCGCCGTCCTGGCCGACCTCGCCGGCGCGGACGAGGGGAACCCCGACCTGGCCGCGGTGAAGGCCCTGGCGCAGCACGCGGCCGGCGACGGCGCCGCGGCGGCCACCCTCGCGCAGGACCTCGCCGAGAACTTTCCCGATCACGCGAGCGTGCAGGTCCTGGCCGGCACGGTGCTGCAGGCGCAGGGGCGCAGCGAGGAGGCGCTGGCGCTGTTGGCGAAGCATCAGGGGAATCTGGAGGCGTGAGTCGATCCCCCACCTTCATCCGTCAGGAGGGTATGCGGGCAAAGCGTCGTTGGGCTTGTGTGCTTTCTATTGAGGGAATGGGAAGCTGACAATTGACTGGGTGGGATGACACACGTACAGCGTCGCCTTGATCGTGCAGATCCACCTCCACCAGAACCGCTCCGATCTCGCCCTGAAAGAAGTGCAGGCCGCCAAGCGCTGGGCGCAGGACTCGCTGCTGGTGAACCTGGCGGAATCCTGGGTGGGGTTGCGAGTCGTATGTCTATGCCTTCCCCTTAGCCCAACTCTATCCAGCCAGAGCGTTTCTTCCACCGACGACGGGACGTGTCGCGCACCCCCTACTAACTGACTACGCTGTATAGGGCGGCGAGAAATACCAAGCAGCCTTCTACGTCTACGAGGAACTGGCCTCGGCGCCCAGCACGGCCGCACCGCTGTCGATCGTCGGCCAGGCCGTCGCCGAGCTGCACCTGGGCCGCCTGCCCGAGGCGGAGGCGGCGCTGTCCGCCGCGCTGGAGAAATACCCCGACGAGGCCGAGGTGATCGCCAACGCGATCGTGTTGAATGTTCTGGCCGGAAAATCGGCGGAGGAGTTGGAATTGTATGTCCCCTTTCCCCCCCCCGCTCCCCCGGAAAAAAAAAAGAATCGGGCGTTGGCGCAGATAGCTAACTATGATATGCGCGATAGACGTCTTCAGCAGACGCACCCGTCGCATCCGCTGTTAAGCGAAATTCAGGAGAAGAGTGAGCTCTTTGATGCTGCGGCGGCCAAGTATGCCCCGAGGGTGGCGGCCTAGGTTGATGCCGGGCGCTGCTGTGTTTTGACTATGCATTTTTTTTTCTTTCTCGTTTTGTCCAAAGTCTACATTTAGTATCACCCTCTAGCGCAACGTTGCTCTCTTTATGATGCATTGATACGCCGGCATAGCTTTCGTACGACCAGTAATATTAAGCGATGTCTTGATACTTCCGACTGCTTTTTTGTGCCTAGAGAAATTCATAAAGGCTGGACGTGCTCCGGCACAGCGAAAATGACCTCCTTCTCTTGTGATGCACAGAAATTAAAGTCACAGGAGAAGCAGACTTATATACATCCGAAGATAATTCAGATTGGAAATAGACCCGAAATTAAGTATTTATGTAGGACTACTGGATATGATGTAAAGTAGGCAAATTGCCCTTGCATGCACCTAATTGCCATTCGTCATATCTTCCTTGCCAGTCAGGTCGCAGAACGCCTTATAGGTGACGAACGGATTCTCCTCTCCGCTATCGGTGCTCTCGACAATGCACTCGGCATTGGCGCCGACGAAGAACACATAGCCCTCCTTCACTTCCTCCGACTTATGGCCGACGGTGATCTTTCCGGCTCCGCCCGTGCAGATCAGAATGCTGGGGCCGACCAGTCCGTCGAAAGTCGCCTTGGCGCCGGGTCTCCTGAGCTCCGTCTTGACAACGCTGAATTCTTCGATGGGAGGGTCGTAGAGCAGACAGGATGAGGCACTCGAGTACGCCGGCGCGTTGAGCACGACGTACGGGTAGTCAGTCGGCTGCAGCTTCTGCTCCTCGATGGGCGCATAGGAGTATGTCAGCATCTCCGTGAGCGTGTCCACGTCCTTGAATTTGGGGGTGAACCCGGCCCGCACGACGTTGTCGGATGAAGCCATGCACTCAATGATGTCGCCTGAAACGTAGGCGTGGATGTCGTCGGCCTTCAGGAACATAGCCTCGCCGGGGGCGAGTTTCACGAAGTTGAGGAAGAAAAATACAAAGAGACCGATGTCATCGGGGAACTGGCCATTGAGGCGAGTGATGATGGCAGCCAATTCGGCGGGGTTGCTGGGATTCGTCTCGGGGGAGGTGGACGAGGTAGCAAATGTGTCTGGTTGTTGAGTGGCTTCGACTAGTTCCTTCGTGGCGGCCGCAATGTCCTCGGCGGACGACTTCATCAGTGTGGTAAAGAGCGTGCGCAGAGCGTCCTTGTTCTTGGCGGTTACCTCAGGGTCTTCCGAACTCTCGGAACCCTGAACGGTGCGCTCGAACTCACTGGCCGCCTGCTCCCCAACCAGATTCCGGAGGGGTTTGACGGCCTTCAGAAAGTGTGTGATCTGGTCGAGGGGACGGAAGCTGCACAGGCCTTCGAAAGGGGTGATCGCGATGGCCATTTCGGGCTTGTGGTTGTCATCTGCAAAGCGAGAACCAAGAGTTAGCGGCGGTACGATCACTATGGTTGTGACCACGATCACGAGCTACCTACCAGGATAGTTGCGAGGGTCTCTCGCGTGGAGCTTTTCGGCAAGCTTCTTGTTGGGGTGCGCTTGGATGCTAAGAGCTTTCTGGACAGAAAGCACCTTGAACAGGAACGGCAACTTCCCGCCATATCGCTCGCTGACCTCGGCGGACATCAGAGCCTGATTATCCTGGACCATATCGAGCAAGGTCCGCTTGGTCTCGAGATCTTTGGAGGGAAGGGAAGGGTGTGTGCCCATCCATAGCTATACGTCATCGGGGTAAGTCAACAGCTTGCGGGGGGGGGCTGCTCAACAACCAGGCGTACCAACCTCTGCATAAGGCTTTTCTGCCTCTATCGAGAAGTCGGAGTCGGATGAGGTAGCTGCATATTTGGCAGCCGCAGAATCATGGCCAAGTTTGCCTGGAGTGAGCGTTCAGCGAAAGGCAGACGGGGAAAAATCGGGGTGCGGGGAGCTCCTACCCCAGTCATAACTGTTGACACCTGCAAAGATCGAGTAGACGGTCAGTCCAGGACTAGATATTGGAATACATATAGAAGAAGTTCGTACTTACCACATTGAAGCCGGAGCAATGGGACCTGCATTTCGACGGAGGTGGAGGGGATAATGGGTGTTGCCGATAACAGAACTGAAGCTCTAAGATAGTGGGATAGTGGGGGAGGGGAACTCAGGAAGGGGCAGGGCAGGGCAGCAAAGAGCGGGAGGAGGAGGGGTGGATATTCACTATACTGTGTAGGTAGATAGGTACGGAGTAAAGGGAAGCTAGAGTGAATGAAGTTGAGGGGGAAAGGAGGAAGGAGGAAAGAAAGGCAGAAAAGAAAAGAAGACTTCCACCTAAAGACGAGATGTTACCCATCATGGATCCCACCTCACATTGACAGCACTGTTCCCGGCCTCACCTCCATCACTCCCTCACTCCATCACTCCTCACTCCATCCATCCATCCATCCATTGAAATCTGCCCCTCCAGATTCGTCCGTCTCGGTACAACTGCCAGGCCTAGCGTCCTTACGTAATACGTAAGTCGGTATTGAACCGGTTTTGTTTACTCCGTAACTTACTTGACTTTACTAAGTCCTTACGTGAGCCAGTCCGTGATGGTCTCTACCAATCAGGGGATGCCATGGAGTACCAAGCGTTTGCCGGCCAGTCGCAGCCGAAAGAAGAAGAAGCAGACGACGCGCCAAGATCATGACGCCGCCGTCGGAGAGAATGTCCGTGAGGAGGCCGTGGAAGCATCACAAGCATCACAAGCATCGCCAGCAGCTCCGACTTCAGCTTCCCAGCTCCACCAGCTACGATCTCCTCAGCCTCAGTCTGTCGGCAACCAGAGGTGTTCAACTCCAGGGCCGCCTGCTGCTCCCCTGAACTCTTTCTCTCCTCAGACCGGTCTTTCTGAGGGTCGACCCCACGACCAGAGACAGGGCGCAGCGCGTGGAACACGCAGCTCGGCTCGCAAGGACCTGGTCTCCGCTTTCCCTTGGGAGGCCCTCGACATAGACAAGCTCAAGTCGACAACCACCACGACCACTCTTACTGCGACGCAAATAGCAAACCCAGCCCTAAACACCACCACCACCCCAAGTAGGAGCTCCCCAGTTCAAAGTCCAAGCAGTAAAGGTCAGCAGCAGACCCAAGATAAGGCTGCGGACCTGAGTCCCTCCCTCCGCATTATGTCCCGAAATCGGCCTCGAGGCCCTCCAGTCCCCAGGGACAATGGCCTCGCAGCCAATGAGGAGACTGATATGTGGAACAAGATTCTACAAGATCTGCGCAAGGCCAAAGAGAAGAACGACAAGCAAAAGGTCTTGGCCGAGCAGATAGCGACGCTGAATGAGAAGATCGGCCGAGAGGGCGGGAGTAAGTCACATTCATTTTCCCTTCTCCATGAGCAAATTGTCTCATTCACAAACAATGTCACATCTTCTGCGGTTCTACTTTTCCATTCTACAATGAAAGTTAAACACCTAGAAATTGGGTTGCGTCATTGCTTCGTTGTTCGGTTCAAGCATGGTTGCATCTAGACCACCATCTACCCTTTTCTCGAAGGCGGAGGGCTTTAGTCTTGCAGGCGCTAACGCATCTCAACAGAGCCTACTTTAAACGAGCATAATCAACTGGACAGCCTTTACAGGCAGATGGCGAAGTTATGCGAGGAGGAAAGAGCTATCCTCCAAGACGAGCCTAGTGATGTGATCAAGAACCTCGGTCTTCTGACAGCCCTTCGCCAGGCATCAGAAGCCGAGGCGCCGCAGAACCGGGCTGCATCTCTCTCCAAGTCACGGAAGAAGCGAAATGAGATGGACGGCTCGGCTACCGACTCGCCGGGTCCGTCCAATAACTCGTTGTCGGACAAAGCCAGCCGCGTGAAGGGTGGCATTCAGCGTAGTACGAGTGTTTCCAGCTCACAGGCCCGCGAGGGCCGGGACCACCCCATCGTACAAATCAAGGTAGAAGAAGGGTCCGAGGGCGCGAAGGGCACGCTAGCCGAACGAAACGGGCATCTGGTGGTTGGGGCGGAAGTCGTCTTCAAGCACAACAAGAACAAGCAAGGTGTCGAAGGCGAGGGCATTCAATGCATTATCAAAGGCATCACCGGGGATGGGCTCAAGAAACGGTACGCAACAACCCTCAGTCCAGTCCCACAGAACGATTGACCGATGTGCCTTCGAAAGGTATGATGTACAGGACCCGGAACCAAACGAAAACGGTGAACAGGGCGCGGTATACAAAACCGGCGCAGCGTCGCTGATCCCGATCCCTCGCATCGGGTCTACCTTGCCCTCGTTTTCGCTTGGGAAGCAAGTCCTGGCAAGGTATCCAGACACGACCACTTTCTACCGTGCCGAGGTGATGGGTGCTAAGAAGGATGTCTATCGTCTCAAGTTTGAGGGTGAGGAAGATGATAAGGAGATGGAGGTTGACCGTCGCTTCGTTCTGGACATTCCCGGAAAGTGATGCCCCCGTCTCCGTTCCTCTCCTATCCAGGCCTTTGCTCACGCCCAAGCCTCGATATTTGCCAAGCCAGATGGAATGGTCCTGAAAGGACGTAGGGAAAAAACGGGGAGAAGTCCGGAATCGCCTCAGATGTACGGCGCAGGAAACAATCTTGAATATTGCAATGAGAGGAAGGGTGAAATCGGCTGCCAGATTGTTCGGTTACTTGATACCCATTGTTTAGCTAGGTTTTTTATGATTTGATGGAGTTTTATGACTTTGCAGGGAGTTGGACGTTCTTTTCTTTTTTTTTCCAGTTCTCAGCTTGCTTCGCCTCCATCTCTTTGTTGTTTAGGATAAGTCGTTCTATACTAGGTAGCGGACAAAGGATCCGTACTGTGGACCAAGGACAAATGAACGAGGCAGACTCAATGGAATCTACTCGATCAGATTTGAGCCAAATGGGCTTAGCCCCAGTGTCTAGTCAGCATCCGTCACATACATAGTACATACGCTACCAGGTACAGTCAATGGAAAGCTGATCGATGTGTTTGCTGTGTTTACACCCTCCTCTCACAGATCACTTCCAATGCATCCCAATGGATGAAACATAAATTAGACTGAAGTGGTCATGCTTCGATACTGCCTGCAGAATCACGGTGAGGTGTGGCGTTTCTGGAACAAACATGGGTGCAAACTCACTATCTGACTACAGATCGCGTCATGCTGATTAATGATAGCTTAGTCATTGAGATTCCCCGCCCGTCGCCGAAGCCGCCGCAATTCCGAGGGGCCGAGACTAGAGTAACGCAGCGCCGAGATAGCAGTCCACGATGGACATCTATGATCGTACAGTCATCTCCCCTTTTCTAGCATCCTACCTGGCTATGTTCCTCTTGTCGCAATTAAACTGCTGAATTACCTGTACACCCTCACTCAATTCTAGGATAGAATTGGTTCACCTTGTTCTCTCTCTTCCCTCGAGGCTCACACCTTCCTTCTCTCGTCCACCTTCACGATTCGTCATTCCCCGCCATGTCAAATTTACCGTCTCACGCCTCACCAACTTTTGGGGCGCAACCCGCTTCTTCCAATTCCATTGAACAGCTCTCACTTGGATCGGATCAGATTGCCTCGAATAGTAGGATAGATGAACTCCGTGGCGATGCGGACAGTGTGACCGACAGTGACCGGGGAGATATGACCCCCGCTGTGCCAGCCTCTCTTCTCTCCCCGTCCTTTACCCCGCCAGCAACCCCAGGTGGAACATTCAATCCGGCGCAATTGCTCCAACAAGCACAGCAACCTACCAGTTCCAAGCCGCCGAAACTCCTCTCGCGCCTACCCGATGTCGAATGCATTGTTCGTGCCCGTATCCCGACGACCACGGGCGCAGAGATGTTCCTTCACCTCTACCATAACGACTTGGATAACAAAGAACATTTGGCAATTGTCTTTGGCAATACAATCCGCAGCCGGAGCTTGGACAAAGTTCGACCTGGCGAGACCGAAATGGATCGCATGATTCGTGGTGCCTATGTCGGCAAACTCCACCCTGGTCGGGTCAGCAGCTGGTATGAGGAAGGGAACGCTGAGGGAGCGGAAGACACGCAAAGGGCCGATGAGAGTACCCCGAGTCAAGCGCCACTTGTGCGAATCCATTCAGAATGCTATACCGGAGAGACCGCCTGGTCTGCACGTTGCGATTGCGGTGAACAACTTGATGAGGCAGCAAGACTCATGTCATTCCCCATGGAAACTTTGTCCGAACTCGCATCACAGCAGTCAGTACCCGTCGCTTCGAACGCTTCTGGTGGTGTGATTGTCTACCTCCGGCAAGAAGGACGAGGAATCGGCCTCGGCGAAAAGCTCAAAGCGTACAACTTGCAGGATCTCGGATCAGATACCGTCGAGGCCAATCTCCTGTTGCGACACCCGGCCGATGCTCGAAGCTATGGTCTAGCTACCGCCATCCTTGTCGACCTTGGCCTCGGAGAAGATGCCAATCCCCACGGTATCCGACTCCTCACGAACAACCCTGATAAGGTGCGCGCAGTCGAGGGCCCCAACCGCGAGGTCGTGGTTAAGGAGCGCGTGCCAATGATTCCCTTGGCATGGAGATCGGGCGGAAAGGCCGGCATTACGAGTACAGAGGTAGAGGGATATCTTAGGACCAAGGTACGTACTTTTTTCTTCCCCCTTTTCCTCTCACCCATACTGTGGGGATTTTCCTTTATGCATCTTGGCCGTCGAGAAGTATCCCAATGCTAATCAATTGGATGACAGATTTCCAAAATGGGGCACATGATTCAGTAGACTAAAACAGCACCCTTCCCTTATTGCATTTGTGCACAGCTTTCATAATTTCCGCTTGCCCTTTTTTACCCCTGGACTTTATATACTCACGAGGACCTCAAGGGGAGGTCTTATGTAATGTACGGTGTTTATGAGACAGCGACGTCTATCTTGCCTTGTTTTTTCTATCCTTACTTTCCTCATCTGTGCATACCGCGTTTCCAACGTCTTCGACGAGGTGCGTGGGGTGTATTACTACCTGTCTTAGTTTCGTGCACACTGTACGTTTCGGTGGATCATGACTACAACAACTTCGGAGAAACAAAAAGGGGATCTGCGAACTTTGCTTCCCGTTTGGCCTGGGCGTTAATCCTTCTGTCAGATTGAAGACCAATGAGAACGGCTCCCTTGAGACTCGAGACAGACAATGGCCGAACGATGGCCAGAATGCTGTCGATGATGTGCACATTGACTGCTCAACCCTGGGCCGGGGGGGGATGCTTTGTTTGCGCAGCTAGAACATGCCGGACGCCACGCTATCGAACTTTGTCCCCGTGGAACCATAGTTCTTGATTCTGCACCGCCATCTTGTCAAAAGCTGAAGAGACGAATGGCAATTGACAACATGAAGGCAAAACGTGGTGCGCAGTGGTGCGCAGTGGTGCTAATGATTGACTTTTGGGGGGGTCAATACCCACTGCTCCCACTGCTGGAACCAACCAAACCCAATCGATTCCTTCCTGCGCCTTCGGGACCCTCCGAGTCCGTCCGCTTTCCCTTCCTCTTCTCCCCCCATCATTAATATTTCCACCTTCCCCGACCACACCTCGAGCATGCACACATGCATGTCTCATTATCTTTTGATTCACCCCATCTCCACCAGTCAGTCTCTCTTAAATGTCACATATTTCCATCATTGGATGAAACAACAATTTCTTATCAAACTTTCTCTTTTACAACTCGTCTAATCTCACGTCCTGCCCGTGTTGAATGGCTGGGTAGCTCACATAGCCCCAGCCCGCGAGTGTTCGGCCATGGCCACCCGCCTACCGCCTCTCAATGAAGTGGCTCGGTCGCCAGGCCTCGAGGAAACATCCCCATCATCCACATCCTCGCTGGTGCCCGGTCACCCAGTCACCTCTATTGCTGCAATTTCCGATTCGAACTCGGTGGTGAAAGTCGAAGACTCCCCCACCCCGTCTGCATTGGCCTCCGCGGATGCAGATACGCCCGCGCCTGATGCTGGCGGCGCGGCGACGGCGGTGGCGGGCCGGAAACGCAAGCTGAACAGCAATTCCGCCCGGGGTGTCGCCAATCTTACCCCGGAGCAACTAGCTAAGAAGCGAGCCAATGATCGCCAGGCCCAGCGCGCAATTCGCGAGCGCACGAAGGCTCATATCGACTTGCTCGAACAGCAGGTCCGCGATCTCTCATCGCAGAAACCGTACTTAGATCTTCAGGCTGCGCTGAAGCAAAATGAAGCCGTTCAGGTGGAGAACAGAGAACTCAAGCAGGGGTTGAAAGCAGTCCTGGAGATTATACAACCCCTGTTAGGAGACCAGGCAAAGTCCGGTACGTCATATCCGTTGTCTCGTTTGCTTCGACAAACAGTGGGGTTGATATACTTACCTCAAACATGTTCTAGATCTTTTAGCGTCGACAGCCGCTTCCACGAGCGCCAAACCCATGCCCTCGATCTCCGTGACGTCGTGTTTCTCAGACAATGGCCACTTTCCTTCGAACACCCAACCGTCGGCCCCGACCGACTCCTCATATACGAAATCCGCGGGCACGCAGCCCCCTTCCTCCACACCCCTCACGTTCTCGCCCACTGCGGGTCGGCGGAATTTAACGGCCGCTGGTCCGGCTTCGTTCCGCATCGCGTTTGATTACCAGCGACATAATTTAGCCCATGGCCTCGACTTCGGCGGTACGGATGAGCGGATGGGATTCAATTTCTTGCTCGATACATCCCAACAGGTACCCAAGGTGGATGGATTTCGTCGTTGCTCCGAGGCACCCAGACCAGCCCCTGCGCGCACAGCCTCGACGTATCCAGCACCTTTACCTGCGGGTGCGACGACGGAACAATCGCTGTCCTTGCCCGCGCACTTGACTCCAATCCGGAACATCGCTCCGACCTGTACACTAGACGCTATCCTCATGGACTTCTTACATCATCGTCAGCAAGAGGCAGCAAAGGGTGTACCGAAACAGAATCTTGTTGGCCCGTCATATCCTAGCGTATCGTCCTTGCTTAATCCAGAAAGGAGTGTGTACTCACATCCTTTGTCGAAAGTGTTCACCGACATTCTGCGCACATTCCCGGATATCGCAACATTGCCGGAGCAAGTTTGTGTTCTTCTCTTGATGTTCCTCTTAATGCGATGGCAAATATATCCGACTCCAGAGAATTACGAGCGATTACCGGAATGGCTGACCCCCCGTCCATCGCAGCTGCTCACTCCGCATCCGGCTTGGATTGACTATTTGCCTTGGCCGCGCATGCGGGATCGCTTGGTGATGACATATCGAGACTATCCGTTTGAGAATTGGTTCATACCCTTCACACGGACTCTGTCGGTTAATTGGCCATATGAAGCAACCGATTGTCTTCTGTCCACTGGTGATGGTGACGATCTGATCATCAATCCTGTCTTTGAAAGACATTTCCGAAACCTTAGCAATTGGTCCCTCGGCCCGGCGTTTGCGGAGGCATACCCTTCGCTGGTCGATACAACCAAGATCAAATGAACGCCGCTCGCCGGCAATAGTACGAGTCATATAAATGGTAGTAGACTTGAGTGAACCTAACCATGGTGCTAAATTTGGTCATCTGTGGTTTCAGTCATGCCTAACGTTTTGTTTCTCATCTGGACCCATGTCATGCGCAATGATCTGCCTAAAATACACCTTGTCCATGGATAGTTGCTTCCAGACTTTCGACTTTTGACTTGGCCCACTCAAAGTTGCCAATGCATTAAGGCATGCCCTAAAAACGAAAGACACGGTGCTTGACAAATTTTATGATATTGAGTCATAGAACTGCGCTGGAGATTATTTGTATCTCGACTTTTCCAAATGACAAACTCGCAGACATCCTGATGCCGGAATCCCCGGGATTGGCTTAGTACATGCAGAGTGACTGTACGGGCAGTTTGTTCGGTCATGACGAGTTGCCTTGTCTGCTCTTCTCATTCCAGAATGGCAATCCCGCCTTCTGCCGTAGAACACCATACATGGAGCTGCTATCTAAGCATTCGCCCGCATACTCCCTGGCAGCCTCCATGTTGCCACAAGCCACTTTCAAGCCCGGGAGCTCAACATTGCTCTCCTCGGCCATTGCCAAAGCATGTTTGGCATCTTTGATAGCCAAGGACACTCCAAATCCAGGCCGTGAGCCCAGCGGAGGCGCGTACACGCCCGTCGTTAACCTAGCGCATGTTAAAAGGGTATATTCATCAGCTGAGCAGTGGGGAAAAAAGGGTCAAGCCAACCTCTTAGAATATCCACCAGCGACGGGGCCAAAGGCTTCCCCGATGAGCTCCTCCATCGGCCCAGTTCCCAGGCCCGTACGTTCAGCGAAGACCTGCGCTTCGCCGACGGCTTCCATCATGTTGACGGTGACAATATTGCTAGTTTGGGTGGGACACACCGCCCATGATCAGCACTCCTTCCATCTTCGCATGGAAACGGGCAAGAACAGAAAGCGGAGTAGGAAATGTAAAGGAGCTCACCCAGCGATCTTCAACAGCGAGGCTCGCGTAGCATCCTCGCCACAGTCGATGACCTTCCGCCCCATCACGTCCTGGATCAACGGCTTTACAGCTTCGGATGCTCGCTTCGGCCCTCCAATGGCGAAGACGAGCTTGCCGTCGGCCGCGATGGGGTTGCCGCCGAAGACGGGCGCCGCCAGGAACGACGCCTCTTTCTCCTTGAGCTGGGCGACGGTCAGACCGACCGTGGTCGGGTGGACGGTCGAACAGTCCACGAAGATCTTGTCGCGCAGGGAGATGCCCGACCCCGTGGCTGAGGAGATGAGTTGTTGGAGGACGGCATCATTGGATACCTTTTTTCGCGTAGTTAGTTCGATCATTTCTCTTTCAACACCGCGCTGTAACGAAATCCCAGTAAGGTGTTTCGAGAGAGGAGGGGAGAAATAGACCTACCATGGTGAATATGATGCCACACTGGGCGACGAGCTTGGTGAAGCTCGACTCCGGGGTCCCGCCTAGTGCTTTGAGGGGGTCTCCGCGAGCCATTGTCCGATTCGAATAGATCAGATTCAGGGCTCGCTTGCTGGCAAGGTGTCTTTGGAGGTTACCGGCCATGGCCAGGCCCATAGAGCCGAGACCATACTGTTGGGGCGGGGGGATCTCAGTATGTGACGCTTGGTGGGTTTGTTTGGGATATGAGGACGGGGGCAGGGAAGAGGAAATGGCATGGCACGGACCCAACCGATTTGAGGCATTGTGTATGTGTGTAAGGTATAGTGAGACCTCTTGAGCAGGGATTCTTACTCGCTCAATGTGAAAGGAATGGCGAGTGATGGTTGTTGGGTTTTATCTTATATGGTCTGTACTGTTAAGTAGGAGTATCTCGGGCGACAGACGATAACCGGCCGGGCCCGATGTCGGGAGGCGGAGATATTGGCTAAGAATCAATGCACTTTTATATCCGTCGTGTATTCCATAGTGCTCATTGATCTAATTTTCGATATTCAGTCTCAATTGATTCTTGACTAGCCTCAGTTTCTAAAGGCCACAGTCTTCATGATTTGGAGCATCGAGGGTTTCTGATGATCATTGGGGCTAGTCTCTTCATGGGACGCGACGAGACTGTCGATGCTCCCGAGTAGCTTAGACTAAGAGCATAGAAGTCTATATTTATAGCATGCATATACTTCTAGAGAACAAGCAGAACTAGTTATGAGTCTGATAGCTTTAGTTATAGGATAGACAGCAATACATCCTCACAGCCTCACAGCCTCACAGCCTCAGGCAGTAACCCGTGACTGACCGCCCGGCAGGCCCCACCGAAGCAAGCAGTGCCGCTCCGGACGGGCGACCTGGTCTTCCACTGCGGCTGCGGCTGTTGTTGCTGCTGTGTCTGTGTCTCCGACTAACTTACTGCCTGCCTACCTGCCTTCTGGACGTCATCTCCATACTCCCTCCCTCCCTCGTTCCCTTTCCCCTTCACCCGCTTTCTGATCAATCGCCTTTCTTTTTCCTTTTTCCCAGTCACTCAATCTCATTACCATCATGGCTGATATGCCTATTGGTACGTTGCGCTCCTCCCACCTGGACCCCTCCTCCCCCCTTACTCTCTCCGCCAGTCCCTCCTCTCCTTGCCCGGGATCTCTCCATACCTCCCGCGTTCCCTTCAGCTAACCACAACAATTCACCCAAACAGTGCTCGATGGAGGAACGGGTTTCCTCAAAGTCGGATATGCTGCGCAGGTTGGTCTCTTCTGTTTTGGTCTCGTCAATTTCGTTCTCTCATTAACGCTTGCGTCCTCCTGCAGAACTTCCCCGAGCACCAGTTCCCCTCGATAGTGGGGCGCCCCATACTGCGGACGGAAGAGCAAGCAGGCGACATTGTCGTCAAGGATATCATGTGCGGCGATGAAGCTGCTGCCGCCAGATCAATGCTCCAAATCACCTATCCCGTATGTCTATACACTCGCTGGTTCTGAACTACCGTCTCCCCCGCTTCCGGCACAATCCAGCAGACATGTTAACGTTGGGCCGGAATGGTTTCCTGGCCGGTCTCACTAGATGGAGAATGGAATCGTCAAGAGATGGGACGACATGCAACACCTATGGAACTACACTTTCTACGAGAAGATGAAGATCGACCCCACCGGCCGCAAGATCCTCCTCACCGAACCCCCCATGAACCCCCTGAAGAACCGGGAGCAGATGGCCGAGGTGATGCTGGAAGGCTACAACTTCGGTGGTGTATACGTCGCTATCCAGGCCGTCCTTGCGCTGTATGCTCAGGGTAAGTGTCGCTAGTGCTCTTGAAAACCAACTAGGTCACCGACTAAGCTCCATGCTCTCTTTCGGGCGAATCGCAGGTCTCAGCAGCGGTGTCGTCGTTGATTCCGGAGACGGTGTCACCCACATTATCCCCGTCTATGAATCCACCGTCCTGAACCACCACATCCGCCGACTGGACGTTGCTGGCCGCGACGTCACCCGCAACCTCATCGCCCTTCTCCTCCGCCGCGGGTATGCCCTCAACCGCACGGCCGACTTCGAGACCGTGCGCCAGATCAAGGAGAAGCTGTGCTACGTCTCCTACGACCTGGAACTGGACAAGAAGCTCTCGGAGGATACAACGGTCCTGGTCGAGTCCTACACCCTGCCCGACGGCCGTGTCATCCGCGTGGGCAGCGAGCGGTTCGAGGCCCCCGAGTGTCTCTTCCAGCCGCACTTGGTCGACGTCGACCAACCCGGTATCGCCGAGCTGCTGTTCAACACCATCCAGGGCGCCGATGTCGACGTGCGCTCCAGTCTCTACAAGGCTATCGTGCTCAGTGGTGGAAGCAGCATGTACCCCGGTCTGCCCTCGCGTCTGGAGAAGGAGCTCAAGCAACTGTGGCTCACCCGCATACTGCAAGGAAACCCGGAGCGACTCAACGTATGCGCTTTTTGCCCCGATTTAAGCCCTCCATCTGCGCTGTGTGTTTAAGCTAACGTGGTCCCCATAGAAATTCAAGGTCCGCATCGAAGACCCGCCCCGACGACGACACATGGTCTTCCTTGGAGGTGCCGTGCTGGCCAACCTGGTACGCAATGCACCCAACCCTTAGACGTGTCCGTGACTGTCCCGCTAACCCCTGTGTGTCTTGTTTCCAGATCGCCGACAAGGAGGATATGTGGGTCACCAAGCAAGAATGGGAGGAACAGGGTGCTCGCGCCCTCGCCAAACTCGGTCCCAGATAAAAGAAAAAAAAAGAGGTGTCTAGGTAGTTTACCACTTTCAAACCAACGTAACCAGTACATATATGCATCCATACCTATCCACCTACTTTTCCAAGTGCACGCGCCATCTTCTGATCCCACTGGGAATCTATTCCGAAACACTGCGAGGCTCGTCGCGTCGCGTTGCGCTCTTATCTTCAAGCCAGATCCCTTTTTGCGATATATCTCTATCGATCTTCGACGCTCCTACTCTGCGTTTGTATATACATACTTCCCAAACCCGGGTGTTTCCTATTTTCTATCAAATCAAGAACGATGCATGCCCATCCATTGGTACACAAGCTTGCTGTCTTGTAATACACCCACTTTCGGTCCGTCCTATGCTCGAAAGCCAGACATTGTCGATCCCACATACGGAAGGTGTTCGGGGACCCCAGAACACTTCTCAGGGTAATCGATTCAGAAGCTCTTCTCTTCCTGCTACAGTCCTACAGAAATGTGACACACAAGATCAACCCGAGTCCTAGTCGAACCTGATCAGCACAGAAAGGCCATCATTGTCTAAGTCTATGTGGTGTATATATCTTCTACCAAGTGGACCAACCGCAAACAAAAGAAAAAGGGAAAAGAAAACACCTCAAAAATGCAGGACACAGGCCTCTATATTCCCAAAAGTACAGAAGGAGGGGAAGGGAAGGTAAGACCAATACAGAGACGGTGTGAAGTAGAGAGCTGATGGGTGAGTGAGGATGGTCTCGCAGCCAGGAGCACACATGAAGATACAACAGAGGTCCATGAATTAGCAGGGATATGACGCACGAGGGAAAACCCAGAGGCCCGTCTCTACCAGCGGAACGGCGAATGGATCGATAGAATATATAAATGGTGGAATGCTGAGGCGCAGCTGCCTGCATGCCCCTCTGGGTATTATAGAGGCTGTAAAGTTTTCAGTCATCGGAGTCGGACTCGGTCTGCTCGTTGGCGAGAACCTTCTTGCGCTCTTCGTTCATCTCGCGGTAGGTACTCCAGCTGAGGAGGAAGAAGGCCACGATGATGAGGACTCCGCCGATGATGGAGGCCAGGGACAGGGGTTGGCCGGTGCGCAGCCAGTCGACGATCGCCACGAGGAAGATGGTCAGCAAGGCGGCTACGGAGGAGAGGACGGGCGAGGTCAGGGAGATCAGGACAAGGAAGGAGCCGGAGAATGCTATAACAGACAAGTGGTATTAGTTTCAATCCCAATCCCCAGTCCATGGTGGCTTGGTCGGACTTGACTTACTGGCATTGGCAAGGACGGAGATCAGAAGCATCCAGGCCGCTTCTCCGGTCGGCCAGCGGAAGGTTTCCAGACCAATGATGTGCAAAAAGGGCAGGGGGATCCACAGGACAAGGAGCGTGAAGCATCCGATGAGGCTGCCAAAAGTGTTCGCGAAGATCATGCTGCGTCCGGCGCTGGTGCCCTCCGGGGGACATGCGAACCGCTTGTACAAGACCTCGTACAGACCGTACAGCACACTGCCGATACCTATGATGATATTACCCAGCAACCGGTTTTCGGCTTCGTCGTGCGCTTTGCCTTTCTTGCCGTCGTCGCGATCCCCGTATGCCACCACGAGCACCCCGACGATGGCCACCACGACCGCGATGATCTTGTCGGCCCGCAGTTTGTCCTTGAGGAGGGGGATCGAGAAGGCATACGCGAAGAAGGCGGAGCAGTTGTAGATGGCGGTCAGGTCGCTCGGCGTGGTCATGTTGACTGCAACGTACCAGGAGCCTCCGGCGATTGTGAGAGCGGTGGTGACAAACGCCGTTGTTCGGAGCATGTACGGGATAGGCGATCGTTGAGAATCACGAGACGTGAGGTGTACATCCTGGGTCTCCACCATTTTTGCTGTCGTGCGCAGGATGTAGACATGCCGGCGCCAGAACGCCGCCCAAGACAGTTTGCGTTTCTGCAAGCGGAGGATAAGGAGCTGGAACGGCCACAGCAGCGCCCACGAACCATGTGTGAGATAGCTAGATAGCGCGGAGGAAGGTTAGCCCCTAGAATGAAAGTATCGGAAGGTGAGCGAGGCGATCAAGTACTCCGAACTTACAGCATACAATATGGTTTGTCCCAGTGCAGCTCGTGCTGAATGTATACCGCGGTCTCGGTCTGAACCACAAAACTAGCCAGGCTCAGAAGCAGAAACCCCGAGGCAATCAAGTATTTTTGGCGCGTCGCCTGCTCCGCGGTGTGCTCGGGACTACTGCCGCGGATAGTCGGCCGCCGGGAATGGTGAAGCATAGGCCTGCCTTCTGCATCACCAGTGCCCAGGCTGGCATTCGACAGCCGTCCGCGACGCTCATCCTTGAGCAGCGGTTGTTGGGCGCGGCCGTCAGGGGGTCGATGCATGACAGGACGGTTCATGGGCATTTCATCGTCCGAATCGTGGAAGTCAAGGGCCGGATCCAGATCCCGGGCTTCTCCAACACCCGTTAATCGCACACTATCTGCAGCCACCTTGTGCGGATTTTCTGGATCAAGGATGTAAACAAGAGTGTGAAGGGAGGAACGCAACAGAAGCGACAATGAGACTTGGCAGCCTGCTCCTTGTCTCTATTATGTATGAGCCGGGGCGACTATGACGAAGCGTGCGTCGGAAAGTGGGATGGGATGAAGGTGGGCGGATAAGCCGCGCAATCGGCCGATGGAACGACAGGCAGCTCAGGTGGACGGAAGGATAGATTGGAGGGACTGCCGAAGGTTTAAAGCCCAACGTTCACGTGGGGGCCTAGCGAAGGAAGAATTGCAGCCCCAGTGGGTCAGTTGCCTGCGGACAGAAGCGGATGATGAGGTCTTGAGGGCAAGGCATACAGCCTCGTATGTATAGAAGTACTTCGGACCGCTGCGCTGCGGCCACGTTTGCGAATGTTCGTTCGTGTAATACAATTGTGGGGACGACTGGACTAGGACAGTAAGGTGGAAGGGAGGAGGAACGAGCCAAGCCCCAAGAAGAATGAAAGAGGGACTGCTGTAAGGGAGGGATTGAGAAGAGAAAGAAAGAAAGAAAGAAACGGAATTATGGAAGGCAAGAAGAGTAAGTACCAGGATGTCAGGATGGGTGTGGGAGGGACTATTGAGTCGAGTCCATGCGCAGTTGCATTGCATCCGTTAGAGTCAGGGACCACCGCCCCCGGGCCCCCCTAAATAAAACTTCACCGCCTTACTCAACAACGAGTTGGAAATCAGCGGCGGTGCTGCGCTAATACGATTGCGGCTAGTCACGTGTGGGGACTCGGAGCGAGTCTCCAGCTTTTCAGTCCACGGTTCCCCGCCGAATCGCCGGATTGGGTCTTTGTCTTGTACACACCTCAATTGATTGAGCAGGATTGCAATTACGAAACTCTGATGCCTCCTCATCCCCACGTCGGAAGGGAATATATGAAACAAATCTTGGATAGCTGCTAGTGTACCATCAGAACCTCATCATCATAGCATTTACCCATGTCGCAGTTCCTCCCCCACATATCAATGCGCAAACCGGAAATCCATTCGCTTGTTTCCATCATCCTTGGTCGTGGCGACATAGTCAAGCTTTTGCTCCTCGGTCATCAAGTTCCAACGCCGGTCTCGCTCATGATTTCGCAGCATGTAGTAAGCCTTAGTAGCAATGTAGAGTATGATGTTGACGCCCACAAATATCAGAAGAACTCTGTTTCCCATGATGTAGCGCGGTGCATCCCCTACGCACAACAAACGCATTCATAGTCAGTCAAGTCAGGAATCCTTTCGAGATGGGTCACAAGTGATCGGCACTTACCATCGGTGTATATGTTTGAGGCGATGATGGCAGAAAGCTGAACCGACATATTATAGATCGCAGCCGCAATCGCCCGAGTTCTCACGCTGTTCGAATTCCGAGAGATCCACCCCGCTTGGAGTGCGTGGGCTGCATATATGATTGATCAGCAATTATAGTGATTTTGTTGGCGGAAACACCTGAAGCAGCGTCCAACGGACATGCACTCACCACTCGGAAGGCTGAGAAAGAGGGTGATGACAGTCCACACCACCCACTTGTTCGTCTGGCTGAGGTCCACCGCATTCATATAGATCAACATCGGCAGACTCCAGACCTGGGCTAGGAGTCCCATCCATGACAGGGACTCAAAGTACTCGCCCGCGTACGTAAGAATGATTCGTGTGATGATCATGAAGACCTAGGGTAGCAGATCAGCATCCCACCACCGGTACTTTAACAATCAATCATCGGGTCTCGCACGCACGCTGTATGGCATGGACAAAAGAATGGAGTTGAAGGTATCAAATCCGAAGTCTTTCAGTTGCAGAGTGAAGTACTGCGAGACCGTTGCTGCTCACGTTCTGTCAGCTGGGACTTTCGTTTGACTGACGGAGTAAGGATTGAAGGAGGTTCACTCACTCCAGGGGGTCAGGAACATGATCCCGATAATGTACAGCGGCCACAGATCGAAATCGCTGAAGCTAAGCCATACCAGCTTCGCTGTTAAAGGCTGCCTATTGTGCATTGAGCCCTTACTTGGATCCTCGCGCAAGATGCGATTGACCATGATAACTTCTTCTCTGTGAGGTAGCTAAAGTCAGTGCTCAGAGATCGCGCAAGCTTGGCGAGAGAGCCACATACCGTTCTGTAAACCAGCCATCTTTGCCTCGGGCCCAGTTTGCAGTCTGCGTCGGTCCAGGAGGCAGGAAGATGAAGGACAGAAGTCCCAATGCTAGAGTGAAAAGACCCTGTATCCTATGAGTAACCGTCTTCTGTGGCTTGGGAGAACGTGACTGACATCAATCAAGAAAAGCCAGCGCCAGCCAGCTTGACCACCACGGCCTCCCAGATGCAAGATGCCGTATGCCAAAAGGGCCGCCAGGATGTCGGCCAGCGAAGAAGCTGAGTACCAGAATCCAAGACGTATGGACAACTCGTGGTGCTTATAGAAGTACGACAGGTAAAGTAACATCTAGAACCGGTCAGAACGACTAGCTCAAACCTAGCCATCTTTCAAAATCACTTACCGTGGGTGTGAATCCTCCCGACAAGATACCAATCAAAGCCCTGGTAACCAGAAAAGACGTTCTGCCAGATAGCCAGAACTGACAAGTAGCGACTATAGACCACGATATCATCTGAATCGGAATCCAGCGGTCTGCACCGATCTTCTTGCCGATAATTTGCGCCGGTATCTCACTTAGCATATAGCACAACCTATACACCGTATTTCCCAGGTTGTAATCTACCTCGGGCGGGAGCAGTCAGTACAGCGGCGTGGTGTAAATTGATGCTCACTGACCATCGCGGCTAAGATTCAGGTCGCTCAGAAAGTTATCCGCGTTGGCTTGCTCTAGTACAGTCAGAAACCAGTCGACGAACAGTGTCCAAGCTATATCAGGGCGGCGGTACATACGGATATTGGATCTGTCAAGTTCCAGCGCCGTGATCATCACACAAGCCCATAGGATAATGCGGATATCGAGCTTCTTGACCACACACTGCACCAGAGTTAGCTTCCAACACCATCCCATACTTTTGACTTCCTAGGTGGAGATACATCTTCTTCGCCTCTCGTCCATCGTGCTGCCGGATCGAACCGATGTATATTCTCCCAATCTGGTCGTGGCTTGTACTCCTCCGCTAGGTCTGGGTCGTCGAAGACCGACGGTTGCGTCGCGATAGCATCTGGATTGTAGTTCTTGGACCGTTGAAACCAAAAACGATGAGACACGACCGCATCATCACCAAATTGCTCATCGCCGATAGATGCTGTAGGTCTCTCCGTCACGCTGATCGTAGCTTTTTTCTCGACGTCCGATGTAAGCGTTGTGGAGGAGAGCACTGTTAGGCTCTGCTTTCGTGCAGCAGCTGAGCGAGCAATGACCAGCGACATGTTTTATTCGGGGTGCCTGAATAGGCTTGAGACTTGGATCAAAACCCGGAGTAAATCTTGGGACCGCCCTCACCAGGTCATCCACAAATTTAAGTAGTTTTTTTTTCCCTTCATTACACTATCAACAGCCAAGCGGCAGGTAAGGGGACTATTGTCAAGCCACCCTCATGGTTTTTTTTTCTTGTCGCCCCATGTCCCGGTAGCAGACAACAGTGTGACCACGGGATCTAGATCCCAGCTTAGATGCGACTCTTCCAGCGCTTGAGGTGTTTTCGACCGAGACCATGGATCTGGAGAGCAGCGAGCCCCTTGATGCAGTCTTCCTTGGGCTGTCGAGACTCGTTTGCGTTCGGCGCTTGCCGGGAGTTCGTGCTGCATAGTAGCAAGGTATCACGGCAGCACGAGCGCCAGGACCTATTCGCGCAAGCAATGGAAACAAGCTTTGTCAACAGAGAGGAAGCCAGCTTTGCCTTTCTCGAATTCCTCTGAGTCTGGCTCTTTTGGGGTTTGTTCGACTGATTAGAGTTTTGTGACAAAATCCTGTAGTCGAGTGTTGCTGGCAAGCCGGATCAGAAGTATGTACAGTATCTTCATGGAATGGTCACGCAAGGAAGTGATAAGCGCATTGTCAAGGAGTTATTTGCGACAGAACTGAATAATGGGGATTCTTGAGGCCGTGATCGAGAAATGTGGCAGAGGTGCTGTCAGACGCCCTTCCCCAGATTAGTCTTGGAACATGGGCCTAGATTTATGTAAGGGACTGACCTGAGGCTACAGCAGATTCGGGCCATGTAGTATGCGAGGATCGACTCCTGATAGCTCAGAATAGGGGTCTAGTCGTGTACGATGAACAGAGAGTTCGCCCAACTATAGCGAATTTTGGGGAAATCTTGCTTCGGTTGATAACGGAAATAACCGTGATGCTGCACGTAGTCGCTTTTGCTGGACTTGACGTGAAAAGAAAGTTGTATAGAGATCACGGAGCTATAATGCTTCGCAATCAAAACAGTAACGTTAGATGGCGTCTGTTTCCGAATATGCTCCTCAGCCTATCGGCGATATGCAACACCGACCGAGCTGCAGCATGGGTGGTGGGTGGAATGCCATCGATGCTCTAGACCCTCAAGGGTTGCTGTTCATGTGATCCTCCATCTATCTACTCCGTACGGATACTCCGTAACAACAATCGCATCCCGTCTCTTGATGCTCGATTGACTCGTGATGGCTTGCTTCACCAGCCTACAGTAATTCATTCTGATTTGACTCCGTGCCGCATGCCTTCCGCCACTTTTACTGCCAGCCAACTCCCATACCATGGTATCGCTGCCAATTCGGCCACTCTCCTTTTCCCTTTTTTAACCTCTTGTGAGGTTGCGCGTTTTCTTGTTATGTCCGTATCACATGTGAGTTGTAAATCGAGCCACATATCTTGGCAATTTCAGGTTTTCAGTTCCTTATCAAAGGTTTCTGTGCTCACAACGTCCCCGGCTTCGATTCCTTTTATTGTTTCAGAAATTTAGGAAAGGTTATGACAACCAGGTTGCGATTGGATGGAGTGATTTCATGTATTGAGACTCATTAATCTTATCTTCATCTTGTTCCGTTAACTTATCATCACTCGCACCACACTTAGGCGCTTGCCTTCGACTTGAACAATGCTTCCTTCGTATCATACGTGTACTTCAGGTCAAGGTGCCAATAATCCGGCGCCGTGGGCTTCGCAATCAGCCATGCCTTGTCCAGGGCCTCCACCACTTCCTCGGGCAGTGGGCCCTTCTGGATGTCTCTGAGATTGTTCTCTAGCTGTGCGATGCTGCTCACACCGACGATAATGCCGTCTCGGCCACCCTCCTTGATGTTCAGAAGAGAGTGATGGCGAATCCAGCGGAACGCAATTTCCGGTAATGTCAGACCGTGCTTCTCTGCGACAGGCTCGATAACCCGCAGGGCATCAAAGGTTGCGTCCTTGAAGTAGCGTTTGCGATACAATGTGCCAGTGGAAGACTTATCGCTGTATCTGCCGTCTTCGGGAATATCCTGGGTCTTGTACTTTCCAGACAGGATTCCACCAGCGAGCGGGTTATACACCACAATGTCGATGCCATACCGCTTGCAAGCATGGACCAATTCGGTTTCAATGGACCGAGCTGTGACAAGGCACGTCAGTATCATGGGGGTAGTATCAGGTATTCAGAAACCCGAGCAAGCGACTCACTAATAGCATTGTACATGGCCTGGTAGATGGTCGGTCGTACCCAGCCTCTCTCGTTGCAGACTGTCACGATCTCTGCGACCTCGAAGGCAGTGAAGTTACTCAAGCCGAGCTCGACGAATTTTCCCTCCTTGTGCAATTGATTGACAGCCTCCAGGGTTTCCGTAAAGGGGACCGAGCGGTCGGCGGCATGAAGGTAGAAGATGTCCACGCAGTCGGTGCCCAGGTTCTGCAGTGAGAGCTCGAGTTTCTCACGAATGACGTGTGGCTTGTGGTAGCCCGGCTGCGCGGGGTACCACTTGGTGGCCAAGGTCAGCCCACGCTCCTTCCACTTCGTCTGAGCAGTAAAGGCTTCCTGCTGCCCTGCGACATATGTGCGCGCGGTGTCAACCTCATTGAAGCCTTGCTGTTGAAAAAGGTCGAGACACTTGTTGAACTCGTCGACTGAGGTGATACGAGCCCCTGCAGACTCATCCGGACCAAATGTCATCAACCCAAGAATGACCCTGGGTAAGGGGTTCTGTGCGATGAGAGGCATGATGGAATATAAGGCGAATGGCTTAGCGTTTAAACACTTGGGCGGGGTACAGTAGAGCTAAGAGGAAGTTAGCTTGTGCTGGGATTCACAATTGGCTATATCGCTGAATGTGATACCTGGAATGCAATGTCTGGGAATCGGTTGACAAAGAATGGTTCTCGTCGAGAAAGGATGGTTTATGAAGGGAATACAATGAAAGCAGGAAAGCAGGTGTCAGGGAGATAAGAGCTGTATTTGTCACCTTCCCCGCCATAACCTACTAGGTCGTTGACTGACTAGTGGAGTATGGCGCAACCCACACCCCGCCCGTCCGACGGCATCACCGATCACCGGGCAACTGGATATCTCTGCTTCGATCGGCAGCGGCTACCATACAAGTGTACCAAGATCTTCTTGACTGATTTAAGCATCATTGTATATTTTGCTCATAGTATGTGCAGCATATTTGATCATGGCTTGGTTCCCTCTCCTTGGGTTACCAGCTCTCACTGTTGGGCAACAATTACTAACAAATCCGCTATCGGCATCTGGTGAACTCTGATGAGCTTGACTCATCAACATACTTTTGTCCATACCATCATTGTATCTGCGCCCGACCTCTGATCTCATTCTTGCCACACTACTTTCTACAAGATGAGCGCCCCAAGCAAGGACACATGCTCGATACTGGTCATCAATCCGAACACCTCGTCGCATATGACCAATGCGCTAATTCCACTGTTGGATAATCTCGGACACGGGGGTACTCAGTTCGACTATTTCACAGCCCCGGTGTCGGAAACCGTCACTCTGCCGGACGGCCGCACGGTGGAGGGGGTGCCCAGCATTGACTCGGGCGAGGACTCGGTGAAGTCGGCTCTCTACTGCATGCCGTTCCTGGAGCGCATCATCTCCGAATATGACGGCTTTCTCGTATGTTGCTTCTCAGCTCACCCGCTAGTGGGAATGTTGAAGGAAAAGGTGCGCAAGATCGAGGAATCACACACCTCCATCGTGCCATCGGAGCAGAAAGTGAAGCGAAAGTACGTGACGGGCATCTTTGAAGCGGGGGTGCTAGCTTCGCTGGGCGTGGTCAGCTCGTTTCAGTACGCATCGGGGCCGGGCTTCCACAAGTCCCTGTCGCCGGAAACTTTCGGCATCATCTCCACCGGCAAGATCTGGGAGACGGAGCTCAGCAGCGCCGTTGCTGACATGCTCGGCCATTCGAGCGACGGCAGCATTAGTCACTTTGCCGGGGTTGAGACTACAGGGCTGACCGCCGTTGAGCTGCACACTACCCCTCCCCAAGAAGTGAGACGACGGCTTGTCGAAGCAACTGAGCGACTTCTTAAAGGTTCGCAACGTCCTGTGGGCGCGATCTGCATGGGGTGCGCCGGTATGGTAGGCATGGAAGAGGCGGTCCGAGAAGGGTGTGTGAGAGCATATGGTCGGCAGAAGGGCTGTCAAGTGAGAATCATCGACGGGGTTGCTGCCGGGGCTGGGATGCTTGTGACGGCTTGCAAAGTCGGTTACTGAACCAAATCCGCATTTGATCTCCTTTGTACATACAGAGACATCGCCGCTCTGGGTAGGTCAGGGTGGTATAGAGGCTCTGAATGAGCCTGCTGCTGGATTAGAACCGCAGCGGTTTGGCCATTCGTCGAATATTACGGCCATTCCGCGCAAGTTGCCTAAGCTTCGATGAGAGCGCAAATCAGTCGTGCGGAACAATGCGTGTAAATCCCATCCGCTCGTGAAGATTGTGGGAGCTGAGCAAAGCAATTCATTTTCTCATGTGTAGTATTCTCCAAACAGAATGTGTTGGAAGGAACATGTTGCGCTCAAGTCGAGACAAGTTCATTGTTGTAGAAGCTGCCTACTGATAGCAGTTCCGGCCTGAGGCCGCCACCACTAACCTAGATTGAAAGCTGGAAGTTTCCCCGCGGAACGCGCTACGCGTGGGCCAAAAACCCACGACTACTGACTGTGGTCAAGCAGAAAGATGCCCAGGTATGTGCCACAATCTCGCTTCTCTTGTAATCAGTCTCAGGTCCTCTATCTGCTCATTCACGTTGCTAATCTCGAGATCAGAGAAATAATCACAATCCAAGCCGGCCAGTGCGGCAACAATGGTACCTAGTCCTGCTCCAACACTATTTCTTATCGCAACAACAATAGCTTCCAAGATTGTGGCTCTTTGCTCGAAAACTGCTACTGACTGACATGTCACTTAGTCGGCTCGCAATTCTGGCAACAGCTCTGTCTCGAACACGGAATAAGTCAGGATGGCAATTTAGAGGATTTCGCAACTGAAGGCGGCGACCGTAAGGATGTCTTCTTCTACCAGGTACGCCCGCGGATTCCACAGCTTCGGTCTCTCGATAAACAAGTCTAACAACCTTCTTCTTCTCTTAGAGTGATGATACTCGGTATATCCCCCGAGCGATCCTTCTGGATCTTGAGCCCAGAGTACGAACCCCTCCCTCGGCAGCAATCAATCGACACACCTATACTAGCGCACAGATCATGAGCTCATGCTTCCCAACCAGGTCCTCAATGCTATTCAAACCGGTCCCTACCGAAACATCTACAACCCCGAGAACTTCTTCATCGGACAGCAGGGCATTGGCGCTGGAAACAACTGGGGCGCTGGTTACTCTGCGGGTGAAGTTGTCCAAGAGGAGATCTTCGACATGATCGATCGAGAGGCGGATGGGAGCGATTCACTGGAGGTATGGTTCATGGCCCTTGAGGAGCAGATACACAGACAGGGCACTTTGATCATACCTCACTCGAATCATGGGGCTGACATCGCACTATACTAGGGATTCATGTTCTTGCATTCGATCGCAGGAGGCACAGGCTCTGGTCTGGGCAGCTTCATCCTTGAGCGGATGAACGACCGATTCCCCAAGAAACTAATGCAGACTTACTCTGTCTTTCCCGACACGCACTCTGTGGACGTGGTCGTCAACCCATACAACAGTCTGCTCACCATGCGGCGGTTGACGCAAAATGCCGACTCAGTTGTAAGACCTCCTGGAATCCTAGGTATCCTGCCGGATCGTTCTCGGTACAAGCTAAAATGATTGTCTCTCACATTTAGGTTGTGCTGGACAATGGTGCTCTCTCGCGAATCGTTGCTGATAGACTCCATGTGCAAGAGCCGTCATTTCAACAAACAAATCAGCTTGTATGATCCCCATGCGCAGACAACAGAAGCAAAGGAAGCGGACGTGTCCCTAACACTGTCTTTCTAGGTATCCACTGTGATGTCCGCCTCCACCACCACCCTCCGTTACCCCGGCTACATGCACAACGACCTGGTTGGGATCATCGCTTCCCTGATACCCACGCCCCGCAGCCACTTCCTCATCACCTCGTACACCCCCTTCACCGGCGACAACATCGAGCAGGCCAAGACGATCCGCAAGACGACCGTCCTGGACGTGATGCGCAGACTCCTGCAGCCCAAGAACCGCATGGTGTCGATCAACCCCAGCAAATCCAGCTGCTACATCAGCATCCTCAACATCATCCGGGGCGAAGCCGACCCGACCGACGTCCACAAGTCGCTGCTCCGCATCCGCGAGCGGCGCCTGGCGTCGTTCATCCCGTGGGGCCCCGCCAGCATCCAGGTGGCCCTGACGAAGAAATCGCCGTACATCCAGGACACGCACCGCGTCAGCGGTCTGATGCTGGCCAACCACACCTCGGTCGCCACTTTGTTCAAGCGGATCGTGCAGCAGTACGACCGCCTGCGGAAGCGGAACGCCTTCCTCGAGCAATACAAGAAGCAGAGCCCCTTCTCGGATGGTCTAGGGGAGTTCGATGAGGCCCGCGCTGTGGTTATGGACCTGGTTGGGGAGTACGAGGCGGCCGAGGGTGAGGATTACCTGGATCCCGATGCTGGAAAGGACAAAGAGCTTGGAATCTGATGTGTAAACGAACGCCCTTTTGTTCTATTCCTGTTCGCATTTTTAATTTTTGTGTGTGTGTGTGTGTGTCTGCGTTTGGACATTGCTCTGATGTGGTTCCTTTTGTTTAATGACTGACTACCAAGGGTTGACTGGTGTATATCAAGCGGCGAAGGCGTTTCTCAAATTGATCGTTGTTTTTCATTTTTCTGATAAAAAAAAAACAAAACCAACTTAGAATTCATACGGCCTTCCTGTCCTGCTACATGAGTTCGAGCCTCCCCACCATAATCATAATTGGGACAGTGAGGTTAGGCTTGAGTAGGACGGACACCTGGACAGCCCGTTGTCAAACGTTGGTAACAGTTACACAACGGGTTTACCGACTAACTGCCAGGGTAAGCGATCAGACTGGGGGGGTGAATCGATGGGTTGGGTTTAAACCCACAAGCCCACAAGCCCACAAGAAGCAACGCGCAGCCAGCCTGCACTTGCATCCGCCCATGCACTTTGCTTTGTGCAAGCGCACGCAGGGCGCTGGTCTGGTAGTGGTAGGCCTTCCCCGCCCAATCTAACGGCGAGAGGGTCCGTCCACGCGCAGGGGGGCCCGCCCGCCCATTAACTTCTAGTAATGTACTCAGGGCTAGCTGTAGATACAAAATCTTTCCCGGGTGTTGCAGGGGTGGCTGACTCTTTTGGTGAGAGGGGTTTTTATTTTTTTCGCCTTGCCTTGCCGGTCAACGGTAGGTCCTAAATACCACTTTTCATGTCGAGGTCGAGGGGGATGTTTGCTTGCTATCTTCGGAGGGTGCAGTTCTACCTTCACCCTTGTGCATGTCACTGTCAATATAGCCCAGGTGAGGGGGGGAGCGATTTGCGAATTGTAGGACCAAGTGTCGAGCAGAGTATAAACTAGTCGAGGTGGAAGGGAACAAAAGCAACATCGCACGCAGATCATTTGCTGTTGGCGGGAGGAGTGGTCGTGCGGTCGGAATAGTCTACCGTCTATCCCCGGCCTTGAGAGATACAAAGTAGGTAGGCATAGAAGGAGATTCCTGCCCAAGAGGTGTGGGTACGGGAGTGGGTGTGGGAGGGGGAGGGGGAAGCTTAGAGCTGGATGGTTGGGGAAAGAAAGTATGGGGTAACAGTACAGTGCAGTGCAGGTGGTCTTGATCACCCCAACATAGCTTAATCATCCTTTCTCCGCCCTGGACAAAAAGTGAAGAGAAGACGGGGGGAGGGAGGGATGAAGATACCCGGAACTATCATGCAAACGCTCCCCTGTAGGAAGACGATATTGTCGACAGTAAGCAGCAATTAATGGTGGTGGGAACGATTCAATGCACCAGGGTTCTCAGGATATCGGCTGGTCCAGAGTCAGGCTCGCGATGGGAGCGTAGCACCTATTGAGAAGGGACAACAGATGGTGCAGAGGGCGCGGTTCATAAATAAAAGGAAAGGGTTGGTACATCATTGCTGTGCACCCTTTACTTTGGGGTACATGAATCCACCCACCTCTCTGTAGGTATGTCGCTGCATGGACGTTGTGTCTCATGGGTGCCAGGCAGTAAGCAAGGTAGCACTACCAGATGAGCTGCAACAGGAAGGGTGCATGCATGGGAGCACCACTGGCTTTGCCTCTGCCTCTGCCTCTGCCTTGCGCATTGCCCGCCAATCCCAAGAGCTTCCATAATATGCTCCATTCTCTCTCGTTGTCCGAGCCAACATCAAAATCCTGATGTGGGTTACCGTCACACATACCAGTGCACTGCGGATGTGCCTGGCTCTGAGGTCATGGACCCGAAGACATCGAGCAAGTTCGCAGTCCGTACGGCATGTCGTCTCTTTCACGTGACTGGGTTGGCTGATCGGCCATTGTACGAGGAACTAACCATAAGCGAGGTGTGTAGATCAGCGCAAGATCTAAATGTTCAAGGGTTGGGGAAAGAAAAGGAGTTGTTGGCGCTGTGGTGCTATCTACTTCGGAAGCAGCTACACCTCTGGCGTGCACAGACTTCGGCCACAAGCCCGGGGGAACAGCGCCCCCCCCCCCTCCCTCTCCTCCCTCGCCTCAGCCCCTAGTCATATTAATGGGCTCAGAACGGGATGTTATGTGACAAGAGGATGAAGCGAAGGTGCCTGGCTGTTGCGACCAGGATTATATGCAGCCGTTGAGACCGGTTGCTTTCTCAATGGGGAAAAGTATGTACTGTACTAGGTACATACTGTAGACACCTAGGACTCGGCTGGAGCTACGGAGTAGGAGCTAACCGACGCAATTAACTTACCATGAACTCGGCATACTAACTTTATCGTGACTATGTGCAGCCGATTGCGCCATGGATGGCGACATGCTATATGCCATGCCATGCCATGCTATGCTGGAGAGCAAACTAAATGTAGTCCTCAGGATTGTGGGCGGCAAATTAGGGATCCTCTGATGGGCAGTAATTTAACTTGGGTAGTGTTGAGGGAGAAATTGGGGTACAGTATACGGAGTACTCATACCTTGTCGACACCCTAGGGTGGACACGTATGAGCGGATGAGGTGTAAGACGGTATGTATGCCAGCCCAGATGTCGTGTATGACACCCTTTTTTTGTCGTCTATCGACCTTAAGTTAGACTTTCTTTTCCCCATTCTTCGTCACCTGTTTCGTTTGCCGCCCAGTCGGTTGGTCGGTTGGTCTGAAGAAAGAGAAAATTAAGTTAAATGGAATAAGGGAAAAAAAAGGTGAGTGAGAAAAACGGTACCGAAGAAAGCCTCGTGCGCATCCGGCAAAGGCAAGACGGTTGGGAACATTTGCCTCGCCCCGATGCAGTAGTAATCTGACATGGCCGGGAGACGGACGGAGAGAAAGAACGAAAGAAGGGCAGAAGGCCCGGAATCTTTCCTTAGTAAAGAAACCCAGAAGCTTCTGGCTCCACTTACCTGATTTGCCTCCACCCGGCCTTGTCGTCCGTTCCAGTTGGAGCCAGCCCTGAGAAGAGAGAGGAGAGAGTCTGTCTGTCTAGACTGTCAAGAAGTCGGTCAGTTTGATGAGTAGTAGTGGTGTAGTCAAGTAATAATGTCAGTAAGTTAGTGTCAGTAGTCAGTAGTCAGTAGTCAGTAGTCAGTATCTAGACTAATCGGATGCGCCTAAAATTAAGGAAAGGGCGACGAATCCCCGTCCCGATCGATACTTAGTGAAATCCTATTAACAGCTAAAAGGGAAATAATACTCAAGGCTTAAGGTAAAGATAGTAGTAAGTTAGTACTGCAGTGGGTGGATGCTACGCCTATGCCCAACTCACTAACTAAACCACGCCTTCTCCTCATCTCTCCTCCTCTTTCTCCCTCAGGCTGGATCAGCGCATTGCACCTCCATTATTAAGTTAATTCAATTACTTATTTAGTTAACTTAGTTATTATTATCGAGTGACTCAGCAGGTCATTCATACCTTCCGATTTACCCCCTCTGACCACTCACTGCTCCCTCCCTCCCCCAACCCGATTTCGCAATCACATCCGTTCCCCTACCCGATTTATAAATTGACTTTGCGCTGCAGTTTCGCCGCTGCCACCTACTGATTCATTTATAACCCTCTTTCGCTGCCTCTTTGTCCTCTTCCTCTTTTTCACACCACCTTCAACCTGACTCTGCCTCACCTGCCACCTGCCTCACCTCCTTCCATCCTCTTCCTCCACCTACCTTGCTGTTCCCCGTCCCTACTACTACGGTCTCGCTTTCAGTTCAGCCACATCTGTCTGCTCCGGTGATCATATATAGACCGCCCTTCTTATCTACTACTACTCCTTATCTACCAACGCCCAACGCCCCGGGACTCTCCTGAACAGCTCTCTCCACCGACCAACTATCTCCACGTCACCCTTTTCTTCTTCTAAAGGAGGCAGTACTTCTCTTCATCTTGAGGCTTTAGCTTGCATCCAGATTCCTGCCAACCACCGCATCACGCCCACGGTTGACACCCGCGCCCCTTCCCCAACCAGCGCCAATTTGCACGCCGCATACGCAAGCGCTTATCGGCTGTCCCTACTCCGGTGACTCCTCTTGACTCCGCCCCGTTTCTCGCCACCCTTATTCCATCATGGCGCCCCGCAAGCCTCGCTGCAACTTCAAGGAGTGCAAGGAAGCCGCCCAACGCATTGTCGGCGATTGCAGCTTCTGCAGTGGTCACTACTGCTCCAAGCACCGCATGCTGGAAGCTCACTCCTGTACCGGCCTGGAGGACTGCAAGAAGGAGTCGCATGCCCGCAATGCCGATAAGCTGAACAGCGAGCGCACCCACGTCATCAAGGGCGTATGAGGTTCTCGCCCAGCACCACGCCATTACCTCATTAATCACATTCCTCTTCAATTCCCGCTGCATCGTCATATATCGATTAGCACGGTGTTTTCTCGTCTCTTCAGCCATACTATTTATTGCAAGGCGGAGTTTTTTTTTTTTGTGTCTGTTTAATTCACATCACATTGGCTGGGGCTCGCCGCAGTTACTGCACGGACAGTTTCGCACCCTGGTGGTTTCATAAGCAGGGCTTGGGGGAGTTTTGTTTAAATTTTTGTCTTTTTATCATCTGTGATATTGTACGCTTGGCGTTGAGACTACCTCTGGAGTTGTGAATGATTACTTCTTTTTCCTCTTGATTCAATGCTCATCGCAGGCTGTGGCAGCTGTGCCCGCCCAAGGGCCTCCAGAAGGTGGTTGATTGCGTCGTTAGACAGCTTGATCTATTTTTTGTTTCTCCGCTTGGATAGAATTGATATTTCCTAGCAAAAGTGAGTCTCCACTTGACAGACGGCATCGTCACGTACTCCGTGGGCATTCTCTGTATATCACCCCTCAAGCAAGTTTGAATGAGTATGCAAGTGATCGGCGTTGGAGCATGGACGTGGTAGTGTGGTCTCGTGCCAGCTCAGTACTAGCTCCTCCGTCAGGTACCTACCTCGTCTGCCCCAGCCAGTGAGCGTGCACAACGTAGCACTCGTCATATGACAGGCAACCTTGGTGCTTGTTGCTCCGTAGTAAGTTCAAGCTTCGACCCCCATCAACCGCGCTGCGAGCACCGCGAGGTTTCTGAGTTGCCGTGCTAGGTAGGGTGCCTTGGAATCTAAATCACAATCTGACAAGCAAAACGAGAAAAACTCCACAAGAAATGTGTACATAGTACGGTACATTTGATGTTATTAGAGAACAAAACAAAAACAACATAAAATACATAACCCAAACCCCCATCCTTGCAGTAACTTAACCGGGTCCAATCTTGGGCCTGTATAGCGGCAAAGGTCAGAAATATGTTAGTAGCCGAGTCGAGCAAAGTGAAGAACAAGGCAAAGAAAGAGGGCAGGCAGGCAGGCAAACACAGAAACTTGGAAAGCCTGGAGGGATGGAACGACGTACATATCGTGGTGTTCGCTCAATCGACTGAGGTACTTGTTGAGCTCCTCCACGCGCTCCTTGTGAGTTTTGACCCCTTCCCGTTTCAGGCGTTCTTGCAGCTGTAGTGTGATGAGAGGGAGGTGGAGTTAGTTGGTTATCCCAGGGGTTTTTTTCTTCTTGGTTATTTGTGGTTGATTGTTGTTGCTCTGTTGTATGGGGGTGGTTTGCGACTTTGGGGGTTTCTTGGGTTGAGACAGCTACCATTGGGAGTAGGGGGGGGGGTTATAAATCGAAATGGGGTAAAGGTTGGTGCGATACAAGAATGGCGGATCGATGGTAATATGCTGACAGGGAAAAGAAAACACTTACCCTCCTCTTCCTCATCTCCTCATGTCTCCTCTCCGCCTCGGTTTTGCCAGCGGAGCCAGCGTCCGGTGATGCTTCCTCGGGATGATCAGCCTCATCGTCGGGTGCACGAGACGTATCTCTTGGCGTGCTGGTTTCGTTTTCGTCTGGTGGTGGTGGTTGTTGTTGCTGCTGCTCTGCGTCCGCATCAGGAGAAGCCTTCTTGGGCTCTTTCTCCATTTCCTTTTGCTTCTTCTTCTTTTTCTTCTTCTCTACTCGGCCATCGGCGATCTTGGAGCCCTTCAGCTTGAGCTTACCGCCTCCGCCGGGCGTCGAATACTCGTCGGCCGGCATGGGAGAGGCTTGTCCGGTTGATGGGGATTGGATTTTTTTCAGGGGCCGTGTTCAGCTTTGAAACATGATTCGGTTTGGGTGGTTTGAGAAATTCCCCGATGGTTTGGTTGAGGTTGCGAATTAAAATAACTTAACTTGGTAGATAATCGAGAGGTGATTAGCTGGGGTGATTTTGCCTTGCCGCTTTAGATTCGAGTCAGGTGATCATACGTAAAGAAAGAATCCAGGAATCCGGCAATTGAGGCTATGGACTATGGTTTATTGTTACCAACTATTCAGTGGGTATAGTGACTTGAAGCTACTGATGTAAATGGTCCTATGACTCGAAAAGCGAGATGGTTAAATGCCACCAGTGGCGCGATGTTCATTATTGTCAGACTATGTTCTATGCTTTTTGACGTTTCATGCTATTGATATCGTGATTTTATCTCCTAGTTGTCCCTGTAGGGCTATGGTTCGTGCCCTGTGGTCTAAAAACAAAGGTTTCAGTCGAAAGGAATTGGGCGTAGCCCTGATCCCCCCCCTCGTTTCCGCATCTCGGCTCCCGCAGCAACCGTGCTGGGGACCTTGATGCCACAGCAGTCGCCGAACCAATCCAGGTGATTGCTGTGATCATGGCCGGGGCCATGATCGTGCTCGTGCTCGTGCTCCTCACTCTCCATGTCATCGGTGACCTCCGTCATCCCAGGCGCAGCGGGCAGTAGGCTGCCGAAAAGGAAGTGTTGCATGATGGGCAGCTTGCTCAGAACCTCCTTGACAAACATCTTCTTCATGCCGCCTTCGATCTTGCTCCAGTTTTTGGCCCCCGAGATGTCATCCAGCATGGGACTGTGCCAGCGCAGCCCTTTCACGGTCTTCACGCTGTCCACCCACCGCACCTGATCCAGGTAGATGAAATTGTCGCTTTCCTCCTCGAGCACCGCCATGTTGTGGATCGACAACGGGGTGATGTAGGGATGGGCCACGAGCTGCGAGGCGCCAAACAGAAACGGCAGGAAGTGGTAATCATCCAGACCCCAGACCCCGTGGGAGCCGGCTGGCTCCAGATAGTATGTGGTTTGGATGTCGCGCATCAACCGCATGTAACTCACGTACACGTGGAAGACGATCGCAGGGAAGTCGGATTTCGAGAACAGGTGCACCTGGCGGAGACATAGTAGCCACATCATGAAGTTCAGCTCATGGCCTGAGCCATAATCTAGTCGATCCCGCGACCCTAAGGAGTTTATAAGGTATGTAGATGCCTCTTCGAGAAGGGCCGGGTCCTCGAATCCGAAGATGTCTCGATGCCATGCCTCGCTTTGTCTCGCAACATCGTCGAACAGATCGCGGAATGCAGGGTTGCCAAAGCGCGAGCCGTTCTGGTCGAGGGAAGGGTGGCGTTCAAGAAGTGAGCGTATTTGGTCGACCACGGACTGTACTTTGGTGATGGTGGGAGAAGGTTTGCTAGCTTCTGTCGTCGCCCGTCCTCGTACGGAATCAGAGAGTCCGAAGATGAAACCGAGAATCAGGTTGTATGTAGGGGAAGAGAGGAAGAGTTCGTGATCATTTCGTGATAAGATTCGACGGACCGGCCGGGTATACTGGTGGGAGGTGAGGTCGGGAGGGTTAGGTAGAGGCGGGGTGACTGGTGCGGGCTCTTTGGAGGATGCTGTGCTCGACTTGCTCTTGCTCGCTCGGAGCTCTGAAAGCTTCTTGGACAAATCAATCTTAGGCTTAGGTGCCAGATTCGGCACGGAGACCTCTGAGGCCATAGTGAGATGGCAGGTAAGAAAGGCCAAGAAGAACGACGATACTAATGAATGGTGGTGCACTTTGGAACCTTGAAGGTGACGGTCATCTGCCACCGCCCGCGTACGATGGCTATGTGGAGGGGAGGAGTCTGGTCACGTGGCAGAATCATACCGCCTTTTCTGATTGTTTGACAGAGGATGGGCCGATGACGCTTTCCCCAAAGGAAGATTAGTGCTGTCGGAGAGGATCACCATGTGATCGACAAAGCCCATTCGGTCCCTTGACTCCCTTGAGGTAAGAGCCAGCTATTCCGCTTCAGGTTTGGGGCGCGTGGTACGGTTAGTAGTCACTAGTAGCGCTGTCTACGAGAGCAACAAAAGTTGTAACTTCTCCAACAACGCACGATGCTGGGTGAGGGGATGAAGAAAAGAGCTGTGTCAAGATTTGGCTGGAGATAATCACCTCAAGGACCAGATTTCTCGGGTCTACTGTACAACCTCATATAGAGGTTCTTTAACCGCCGTCAACCGTTGAGCACCTTCGAAAGCTGGGGAAACTTCTGACCCTGCTTATCCACTCATCTGCGTCTGCTTAATTACAGCTTGCCCTAGGCTATATGAACCCTGCGCCTCCGTGAGCACGCCATCATGGAACCCTCCGATTTGACCACACAAAGCATCCAAAAGCCTGGTGACTCTTCTCTCACGCAAAGTCCTTCATCCCCTCGTTCGTCTCGCGGAGAGCCACACCGCATGTCTTCTCCAAGCGCAGAGCAAGGGCCGGCTGCGACACCTGGTCACGGCCAATCCTACCCAGTCAATGAATGCACGCCCATTGTGTCGAACAGCGATTCATCCCGGCGTAATTATCAATCTACGGAAGGACTCAGGAACCGTGAAACTGGGTCCGTGAATGGCCATGCCGAGATCCCGGAACGGCAAAATGCAAGAGCAACCTCCGCTCAACAGGCCCCCCAGTCAGATGCGGAGGAGCCGCACGCCTCCTGGTACCGACGAATGGCCGAGAAGTACGGCAGCTTAGAGCTAGAAAACAAGGGCAGTGTTGCCCGAGATCATCTTGCTTTGGGTGCGTTTGTGTCTAGTTCCCGTCTTGTTTCAGCTTCAAAAACTTGCGACATCAGCAGTCTGACATGGTTGTAGAGCGTACATTCCTTGCCTGGCTGAGAACTTCGCTGGCGTTTGCATCCATTGGGATAGCTGTAACCCAGCTGTTCCGTTTGAACAACACGGGGAACGTGACTGGGGTGGATCCTTCGTCCCAAACCCTTAATATCGATCCCGCCAGCGTCGCTATATCATCCGCCGCGCAGCGGCTCCGCAGCATCGGGAAGCCGCTAGGAACCACATTTATCGGCGTTGCCATTCTCATTCTCCTGGTTGGCTTTCACCGCTATTTCGAGAGCCAGTACTGGATCATCCGGGGCAAGTTTCCGGCCAGTCGTGGCAGCGTTGGGCTGATCGCAATCGTCGCTGCTGCGTTAATAGTAGCTACTCTAGTAGTCATTCTTGCAATCTCTCCAGGCGCTGTCGAAGCCTAGCGAGAGAGAGAACGAGTTTTGAATTTGGCATTTGAGCGCTGAGCGTGTTTCTTCAGATATGTTCTTGTCATCTGATTAGTGGGTACGAAACTTCAAATTGGGTGAATGGCATGATGGGCTGGGGTTGTGGTCATTGTATAGGAGATACCGCGGAACAATAGCATGCTGGTTATTCTAGGCTACTGAGAGAGTGAGTGGTCTAGTGACTGCTGCTTCCTGTGTGCTCATATCACGGCTCTGGTCTTCACTTGCATCTATGTTCAACTATGTATATGGGAGCAAGCGAATCATGATGTGCATATGATACAACTGAGGTCTGAAACTGACCCGGCATCTCTTTGCAATCTAGCAGAAGTGAAGTCGGTGAAGTCTCAATAGTCTCCATTAAACTTTAATGATTTTCATACGCCCTGCGCGGTTTTGAGTCTTCCTGAAACTACCTTCAGCTATCAAATGTAACACCACTGTCGGCTGAAACCACAAGAGCCCAGTAACGCAATGTCAGAAGGGCAGTTTCACATATCCAGCCGTCTGTCAATTGGTATATCCTGGCAAGCAGACTGCCACGGATGAGCCTACCTCGACTAGATTAATGTTCGAATCGTTCGATACCTCTGACCATTCCCACTAAGACCTTCTCGAACAGTATAGACCACTATCTCTTATGTCTGAAGTCACGTAAGGAGCGTTCAACCTAAGCCATCAACGTTCATCAATCTACACAAGTGGCAATTCGAGGCTCTTTCCCGGCGTCCTTGAAGCAAAAGAAGTCATTGTGATAGAACATCACCGACGAGCATCGTTAGCACCAGGCATCTTGACACAAAAAGTCACGTCATACTCATGAGCTATAGGTCCAGCTCCGCTTCATTCATTTGACAAGACCAAATCCTTGGTAAACGCCTCTGATGATCCTGACGTGACCTAGGAGAAAAAGAAAATCTCCGAGAACCATTTGTGTCGCAAATGACATGACATATATGCTTTGCAAGATCTAGCTCTCATTTGCATATCCTGAATTCTCCAATCGCTATTTCCAGAGCACTCCACAGGAATACGTAAGTATAGCACTCCGTACAGTCAAATAGTCTCCTCGCCGCTGCGGGTGATACATGCGTAAAAAAAAAAAGTGGGCCGATCGGTTTCCAATGTGGCTGAACCCATGGAATAGAAAATGAACTTCTGGAAACACCTCCAGGCTGCCCCCTAAAAAGGCACAAGAATGATTCTTGGCCTCAACCATGGGATCGATCGGCGCCGATTTCCCCAAGGTCAAAGAGAAGTGAAAACCCGGGGACCTCGGCACAAAGAACCTGAGCAAAAGACAAAAAGGTTCAAGGTTTTTATTTGCTCTCCGCATTCCCGTTGTGGATCGTATTGTAGAAAGACAGGTGGAAGTGGATGCAAGAGGTTGAGAGATGGATAATTCTACAGAAGTTAGTGTCGACAGACTCACTCGGCTGAAACTTTTTTGGTCGGCGAGACAATGGAAGAAAAAGTCCCTCTCTGGTGCCTTGCGTTCTAGTAAGAAAAGCCTTTGAGGTTGTCTTCTACCCCTTCTTTGTGCCTGGCACACACACACTCTCTCTCTCTCAATCGGAACTCTCGGTAAGGCGCCTAGAGGAACCTGGCAAATGAGTTCTTGAGCCCGATCGTAATGTCTCAGAACTCGGAATACGAGAGAAAATCCGAGTCGAATCGGTTGTCTCGTGGCCGTATCTTACCATCTCGGTCTCGTGACCTGGCAGGAATAGGTCTAGGTCTTTGATTCTGCTGTATTGAGTACGGTACACTATTACGGAGCAGACGGTCAATGTAGCCGCGTAGCGTCAACTGTCCCTTGTCCTTGGTGGCTTGTCAAGTCACGCTGTTCAGGGTGAATCTCTGATGGGTCATTCCGTGTCGATTCCATGGGACACCCTGGGTCATCCTTTGCCCAGGCCCCAGGGTCTTTGATCTTCCACTACGGACAGAGTTGATACGGAGTATAGCACCGGCAAGCTGTGGCCAATTCACGACTGTATCTCTTACACTCAGACTCTTACGGAGTACGCTCCCTTGTCTTCCTACGGATAAGGCCGTCTGCAGAACGACGATTCGGGACTATCAGCGGTTTCTCCTGAACCAATGAGGAGGCCAGGTCAGGCTCCTGCAGATCGTCGTAAGGTGCGATAAGAGAGGCAATTGCCTTGCCAACTGTCTGTCAGAATGAGACCAGATCGAGGTCCTTAAGAAAGTAGAACAAGGGTGATACTCCATGATTCAGTTGCTGTTGTCCGCAAGAATCATTGGTAATCTCTCCACGCCATGGGGAAGCCCACCGTCCACTTAGAAGAGAGAACCGCCCCCCGGCTCAGCCTGGAGAAGACTATAACCTTCCTACAAAAGTCTATTGTGTCAGCCCGTAGCAGTGATCGCAATCGCGCAAGCAGAACTTCGATCGAGCTGGAAAACCATGAAGTGCATGGCTGATGGTCTTCCAGTTCTTTTATCCGGTCTTGGTGTGCTGCGTACAGTACCGAGTACAGTGCACAGTATGCATCGAACCGCTTCTTAGGTCTCGGGCGGCAATGTCGACGAAAGCCATGATCGGCCAAAATGGCTAAGAACAAGTTATAATGATATAACTAATATGTTTAGCATATAAGGCGCCAAAGCATGGCATTATTGTCTCTTGGCCACATATTAACAGTCCAGAAACCTTGATAATCCGTGCCCAGTCCTGGAAGAGGGATAGCAAGCCCAGTAGCCAATAATAAGCATGACGTGTGCCTTACATCCCTGGCGAGACCTAGCGCGCAGTAGGTGATAACTGGGTAAGAAAACACGATAAGACCGCAGGGATGGAGGAAGCTTATTGGCAGTGACCAGGGGTTCCTGTTTCTCTTTAGTCCTAGGTACAGTACTTAGTAGGTACCGTGCGGTGCTCAGGAACGATTGCGCAAGCCCGGTCTGGTCAGTGACAAGACAAGGGTCAGTTGGCGCCGTGAGTGAGAATAGAACCTGAAGCCCGCGGGCTGACTCGGAAGACCTCAGACAACATCAAAGTAGATCTCTCTCCCCCCTTAAGGATGGAAGAACGACGGTGATAGCGCAGAAGAACTATTCTTGGATGTCTGTTGAGGAACCTCCAGAATTCCGGGGATGTCCCAGGTTTATTTTTTTTTTTTCAGGTGTTTCATCCCTCCGCCTCCCTCTTCCCCTGGTCAGAAGTCAAGACGTGTCAACCTTTTGGCAAGGACCACCTGTTGGTAATAATCGGCGTTGCGGACAAGGACTCTCTCGCTCTCTCTGTCTCTCTCGCTATTCTCATTCAAGGGGAGATCCAAAGCGCCAATTAAACTAGGGCCGGATTGAGTTAGCGGCAGGCGTCTAGTGGGTGGCGTTCGGCCTTCCTCCACCGAGACAAGCGAGATTTCAATCCCCTGTCTACCGCCGCTGATTGGAGGTCCGGCTCAGGTACGGACGGGTTAGTGAATCCGTTGATGCCTGGAGGGGGGGTTTTTCGCCCGGGACTCCGTACAGTAAGTACCTAGTCACATTATTATTAGGGATTGATCAACGACAACTAAACCCATCAACAATAAAAAAAGTAATGAATTGCATTGAAACAATAGTCATACATTACTTCCGACCGGACCACCCATTCACTCCGCAGGAGGGGTCAGGATATCAACCGTTTCGCAATTATGAGCATAGTCTGCTCTTATTGACCACATGTACGGAGTAATCTGAGTAGATTAATTATGCTCATGCCAGAAACCCTGATTCTCAACCTGTCGGTTGTTGTGGGGACTGTCTTGCCTGCTTCTTTGGTGTTCGCCGGCTTACTGTACACATTGGAGGATCAGGCTTTGGTCTCAACCAAGGATGGCGCATCGTACTCGGATGGCCGTCGATGGTCGTGACGTCGTTCATCTGGCCCGATACGGGGGATTTCCAGCGACTTATCGATCTAGGCTGGCTGGCCAACTGTTGAATGGAGAGTTCTTCCGGCCAGCTCCGTATCCGTCAGATCTAGAATGGACCGATTGAGAGAGGGATAACCGTGAATATGCCCAAGCCGAGAAGAGGAGAGAGAATAAGGGAGCCTGCAGGCTAGTACGTAGTGGATTGGACCGAAGAGGGTAATGAGGGTGGTGGTGGTGGTGGTGGTGGATCTCGGTAAATTCATCTACAAGCTACTCCGTACTAGGTAGAGTAAGTAGATGGAGAACGCATCCATCCGCCAACTCCGCAGTGGGAGAGAGAGGCATGCAATTTCCCCATATCGTCGCTGGCTCGAATTGGTCAATTTTGGACAAGACATTGGGATTACTAGACCATCAACTTAATTTAGCAGTACTCACTAGTAACAGGTACAGTACAGGCACTGACCGGTGTCAGCCTTTGCTTTGAGGCTAGGTAACAATGAGTAAAGACCGATACCATTACCATTCAATCATACGGGCTCCGTTCTTTACCGGGCGGTGCAGATGGTGGTTCAGATGGTTCAGATGGCAGTGGTTCGTTCGCCATCCCTCCGTCCCTCCGCTTACTGGAGGGCGGGCGATCGGACGGCCCTGCTGCACGGGTGGTAAATACGATGTATCAATTCGGTACTAGGTACGGGTGCGGCCCCTCCGGGTGACCAGCAACCAATCAACCCCTGCCGCCCTCCTCCATACGTCGCCGTCTCCTCCTCTCTCTCCACCACCAAGCCTTTTGCTGCACCTCAGCCTTTCCTCTCCTTCCTTCGACTTCATTTTCCCTCTTCCTAGGTTGATCCTCCCTCTTTTCCTCTTCCTCCCTCCCCCTCCCTCTCTCTCCGACTTCCTCCTCTCTTTCCTCCTTCGCTTTCCTCACCCCCGTTGCGTTTCCGCTCCCATCTATATTCACTATCTTCCTTCGTTTATCCCTCCCACTCCGCCGACTCTTCCGCCCATCCTCCTCCTCCGTGGCCCGTTCCCGTGGCCGTCCGCTCCTTACGATAACAACAATTCCCTTCGTCGCCTGCACGCTTCTCGAACTCGAGTCCATCACGACCTTCTACTGCAGATTATCTTTCTCAAGAGAGTCAGTTACGGAGGCTTTTGTCTAGCCGCCGTTCGGTTCATTTCGCTGCCTTCGACCCTCGGCCTTCGACCGTTTCATCATTACGAGGTTCTCTTACTACCACCTCATCCATTAATATCAAGTTTGTTGGATCTGTGGCTCTTTGGGGTATTCGATGGTCTCGATGTGCAAATAAAGACCTCCAGCCAGAGTTAGGCTTTCCAATCCATACTAGGGAAGTCGCATCGGTCTGGAGGTCCCTGTGTGCTTGGGCTACATCAACTGTACTCATTTGCAAACCACGGGGCTGGCCGAATATATCTGCAACATATAGTTATTACATAGTATCAGCAGGTGATCATGGCTTCGATTTCTCTGCCCCCGCAACACCTAATTACTCCAGCATTCTCCGAATATCTACGACCCATCGATCGGTCCCCTGTTGGTCACAGCCGCCGCAACTTGACCATGTCAACTCCGCTTCCAAACCCACCATTTGTCTTCCCGGCACGAGACCCCGGCGATACAACGTCGGAGGCCCCAGCGACTAGACGCAGGACTCCTCCGCCCCTTCCGGCTTTCTCATTCAATCCAGGGTCTAATCACTCTGCACAGCCGTCAATGCCGAATCTCCCTTTGAATAGACCAGGTGGTCACCGGCGACGATGCAGTGAGTTTGTGGGTGGGGATCGTTTAGCCATTCCTGGACCCGTAGAGGCCATCCAAGGCAACGATGAGAGTTCAGGCTCGACACCTGCCACACTTCCTGCTCCAGGTCCCGGCTTCGGTGCAGGCAGCCAAGGAAAGCGGCGTCATGCCCACCGACGCTCAGCTGCTATCTCTAGCGTGGACCTGACTGCAATCTCAAATGCACTGGACCTGAAGCCTACTGTCGAAAGTGCTCCCTGTATGCCGGCAGAGCCGATGCCAGAGCATCATGCTTCAGATGAGCCTACGCGGCCTGCATCACAATCGGCTGCCATACTGTATCGAAGCTCGCCACCTGCGTCCCCTCGAATTGTTGTTGAGACAGAACCCCCGACTCCCGTCAAATCAAGCGATGAGACTACTATCCCTTCACCTGGTTATTCTTCGCCTGAACAGTCGCCTAAGTTTCTTGCACCCACGAGCGCATCGAATCCCGACTTCTCCACTAGAAATAGTGGTGTTGTTGAGATGAGCTCTGCAGTTGAGCCCAAGCTTTTCTCAAATGAGAAGCCCAAGCCTAGGCCCAGGACTGCTGATGCCTCTCTAATGCTGGATCAGAACATGGACTTAGGCATTGGGGATACCTCATCCTCGAAGCGACCGCTGTCTGCAGCGGGCCATTCTCGGAACCGCAAAAGCTTTTCTTCGGGAATTCTAGATCATTTTGCGGGCTCGTCAAGACGGTCCTCCTCGTCCAGTAACACGGGAAGCACTTCGGATACCTCTGATCATGATCCCCGTGAGTCTTCGGATTCTTGCAATACACATAAGAGGATATCCAAGGCGAAAAAGCGGCAGAAGAAGGTGCGCTCATGGGCCGGTGCTATTCTAACCAGAGGCAAGGCCAAGCGACATGCGAAGAAGGACATGAGCGAAAACATTCAGCCTTCTGTTCCTGCCCCTGTGATTACGAGAACCAACTCCGACCTTGGATCGGGACTGGAAGTGGACTTCGATGATGACACCATTGTTGTTATCCGCACGCCTACTAACCCTGCTACACCAGACGCTCGGCGTCCCACGTCTCATGATTCAAACGTACCATCTTTGGAGCATTCGTGGAAGCCAAGGAGCTTCTATGAGCAGACAACCCAAAATGATACTCTCAGTCCTGTCATCGACTTGGATGCAGCTCTGGGGCCGTTTAATACGCCTGACATGCACTCTGGTCGTGTTGCAGAAAGTGGTTTCTCGGCAGCTACCAAGCGCATGTACAGTGGCGGTAGGCGGGGTGAATTTGTTGGTCCAGAGATGCGTTATCATCGCCGTGCGGAGAGTGCACCTGAAATGCCACCCTTTGATCGCAGTTTTCTGGGAAATAACCGATTCGTGAATACTTCGACATTGGAGAATCCAGATGTGCTTTATGAAGAAGAAGAGGACGCTTTCTTGGCTGCTACGAGCGAGTCTCCAGCTGAAAATAATGAGCGCCCGCTCTCACAGGTTATCTTGTCAACTTCACGTGATGCTGAGAGCAGATCTGAGGAAAGCAAGAGCAGCTCCGAAACACTTACTGCCTACCCTGTGATTGACGAGGTCCGTGACCAACCTCATACTGGCCTTGGGATTCAGGAAACTGAAACTCAAACTATGTCGACCGCCGACGCTACTTCTTCTAGTCAAGAGGATCTTAGACCTCGTACTGCATCAAACGCCATCCATCAATTACAGAATGCGGGCAATCCATTTTCTAATTCGCTGGGCGATCCAGTCGATGTCGCCGAGCAAGAAGCATGGCAGCACCGCATGCCTGTTCCTACAAGCCCCGACGTTTCGCCACGATTTATGGCTGCTGATACTCGACCTACCACCTCCCCTTTGGAGCTGACATACAACATCCCTCCACTGTCTCTCCAGGGAAGCACACTTGTCTCGAATTCCTCTTTTCCGTCTCCCGATTTCACCGGCTGCTCATCGGATGCCCCTCGGTCGATAACTACTCCATCCACGAGTGACCGTAATTTCTCGAACCCTTCATACAATCCTTCCATGGATCTTCCGCAGACGTCAGTTGAGGATGTTCCCTCTCTCACAAGCAGTGCATCTACGACGACGAACACACCCCACCGATTCTCTGGCACATTCTTCGGACGTCCTCGGCTGTCCTCCGACCGTTCTGCATCATTCTCTGAGGCTGTGCGCCGCCGCACCAGCCGTGCCAACAGCTATAAGAGGTCTAGTCTTGCCAGCCTCTCCAAACTAGTTGTTGGCTCTCAGGGAGAGAAAAGCAAACTCAGCCATGAGGAGAAGCCGCCTGAAGATGAGCCTGAGAAGTCCAAGAGGAAATCTCACCGGATCAGTCGTTTGATGCACTTCTGGAGGAGCAAAGATAAAGACCGGCCGCATGAACACGGGGTTCAAGAAGAGCCACACTTATGAAACTACCCTTTTTTCGAGACAAATATTGACACATGTACATATCCAACCTGATCATGATTCGCTTCTCAGTGGTCTTTGCAAGATCTCTTACCTCTTCACATCTTTTTTCCTCTTCTTTTTATTTTCTTGATCAAGTTCCCCTTTACTTTTGTTGGGGCAACTGACGAATTTCTTTCAATTGGCATGTGATCGCAAGCGTCAGAGTATGAAGCTCTATCCTTTCTTCTTTTCGAGATTTCATGTCTCTCATTCCAGACTTGTTGCAAGTTGTGAACCAGTTCTCAACTCGGCTTGCTATCTACCAAGCTACAATTTTTTCATCATACCTTCTCTCAGCTCCTCCCTTCTCACTCCATCTCATGCTGACTCCCTATCTTCGGAAGGGCAGGGCTTGTTCATCGTCTTATCCCTCCATGGGACATCTGATGTTCTTTTTGTTCTTATCGGGCATACTTACATTAGGGAGGGGGCATTTTGATTTTTTTTTCTTGGCTAGTCGAAGCTGGTGGTTGCTGTCGGTTTTCATGGACTGGAGGCTCTTTCTGACGAATCTAGCATGAAGTCTTTCTATGGATACTGAAACAGCCGCGTACGGCTGCAATGGATGTACATTCTGCGGCACTACTCTTGACAAGCCTGCAATTCCCACGTAAGACATTGTACTTGCACACTTATGTCTCGTCGGTTTGTGCAGCAACCAAGGAAGTATGTACCAGTATTGATCATAAGGTTCACGCTTGAGGGTGGTAGAAGATATATCTGGACTGCACCCAGAACGCGGGAGCCCCACACGCCGAACACCAAAAAACTCAACTCTGCAGCCGGCGCTTTCCTTGGCATCTGGAGGAGGCTATTGATATTAGTATACACGGAGTCCATATCTATATATATAATCTAATCTCGACCCATTCCTCGACATGGGCCCCTCCCGACAAGGCCCCTCGAAAAAGTCCGCCAAGGCCACCCAGGGTCGCGGCGGCAGCAAAAACGAACCCAAGAAACGCACAACTACTCAGGGCAAGCACCGGCCGCAAGATGCAGACTCGGCCGGAAATCAGATCGATATCTCCACGACCATTCCCTTGACCCTCCAGCAACTGCTTCTGAACATCTTCAAAGCGGCCTTACTCACGCATCGAGTGCCTAGCAGTAGCAGCCGTCCGATTGAGAATGGCGACGAGGGTCATGCAGGCGCCGCTGTCGCCCAGACTCCCGAGGCAGTAGCAGCTGAGCAACCGCAGCAACCGCAGCAGCAGCAGCAGCAGCAACCTCCTCAACTAGACATCAAAGGTCTCATCCAGACCATCAAGTCCCATCTGTACAACCGGGACTTCGACTCGGCGTTTACGGATGCGGATGAGGAGCTCCTGCGCGCGTATGCCCTGCGCTGGAGCTCTTCGCGCGCCTTGGGCTATGCGGGGATCTTTCGGGCTTTGTTGGCGGTGTTGTTGAAGAGGGAGGGGCAGGGTGGTGCTCCTGGTGCTGGTGCTGCTGCTACCAATTCAGCGGGTGAAGGTGATGATGATGAGGCAGAGGAGGAGGGGGTGAGTGGCCATGTGGTTTGTATTGGGGGTGGTGCGGGCGCTGAGATCGTTGCTCTTGCGGCTGCTTGGAGGGATTGGACGGATGCTGTTGCTGGTGGGGAGCAAGCAGCTCCACGAACACTCGCTGCTGCAGCGGGCGATCTCTCTTTGCACGAGACGAATGACCCAGACGCTAGTCACACGGTCGAGGAAGCCTCGACACCCACTGCACGATCGGGGAAACCACAACGCCACCGACTCTCCGTCACGGCCATCGATATCGCCGACTGGTCGCCCATCGTCGACCGCCTGGTGTCCACCATCCGGTCGCCCGCCGTCGCGGGGTCGGACGCGCATCCGGCGCCGTTGTATCGCGACGCGGGGCTCCGCATGAGCCGCCCGGACGCGCAGCCCGATCCTAACAGTGCCCCGGCCGCGAGCAGCAGCTTCCAGGTGGGCTTCCAGAAGCTGGATGTCCTCTCCGCCTCGGAGGAGGCGCTGCGGAGCCTGGTCCGCCCGCCGCGCGAGCACGACACCAGCACCAGCACCCCCGTCCTGGTGACGCTGATGTTCACGCTCAATGAGCTGTTTTCGACCTCCATGGCCAGGGCTACGGGCTTCCTGCTGCGGTTGACCGACCTCCTGCGGCCGGGGGCGGTGCTTCTCGTGGTCGATAGTCCCGGTAGCTATTCTACGTTGAAGTTGGGGAAGAATAGTGGTGGTAGCGGTGGCGGCGGTGGAGAGGGGGAGGAGTCGGCGAGGAGCAGCACGTCGGAAAGACAGTATCCCATGAAGTTCCTGCTGGATCATGCCTTGCTCTCCGTCGCTGCGGGAAAGTGGGAGCGGCTGTTCTCGCAGGACTCGCGCTGGTGGAGGCGAGATGCGGCGCGGCTGCGGTATGGTGTGGGCGATGCCGCGGGCTTGGAGGATATGAGGTTTCAGGTTCATATCTATCGTCGATTAGCGGATTGAGATCTCTGTGTGGGTTTGGGTTTGCGGTATATAGCTTGCTGGCCGTTGGTTTCTTGCTTTCTTGTTTACGGTTTTCTTGGATAATATGTGCGGAAGAATGTTACTGTGTGCTTTGGGAGCTGCAAGGCTTGGTCCGGAAGACTGCAAGAGTGTTTTCCTGGATAATAACGAACTAGCAGGATATGTCATTGAGAGATACGGAGGGAGAGAGAAGAATGTGTATGTTATTGCTACAGGAGATAAGAAAGGTGGTGTATGTTAAACAGGAAGAGGAAAACACCAAACAACATCAGTTTCGCCAGGGAGATCATGCACGCCCGAGATCCATCCGGGTTCAAAAGGGTAAAAACAATTAGACAACGAAAAACTACATATCCACTGCTTTTTTTTTTGTTTTCAGTTTCTCAGGCCCAGCAGAAGGCTTGTGTTCTTGCCACCTTCCTTGCCGTCGTTGCCGGGCAGGTATGTCACGTTGGGGTTGCTGGCCAGCGTGTTGGCGATCTCCTTGCTCGCCTCGATGCGACGGATCTCGATCAGCCCGCTGCCAGCCTTGGCGACGGCCTTGCTGATGATATCGGCACTCTCGGCCTCACCCTCGGCGCGGATGACGTTGGCCTGGCGCTCCTGCTCGGCGCGCTCGACGATGAAGCGCGCCCGCTCGGCGTCCTGCTGGGCGATCTGCTTCTGCTCGACGGCGCGCGTGAACTCCTTGCCGAAGGTCATGTGGGTGATGGAGACATCCTCCAGGGCGATGTTGAACTGGGCCGCCCGCTTCATCAGGTCCGTGCGGATGCGGTTGGAGACGGCCTCGCGCTGGGTGATCAACTCGGCGGCATCGAACTGGGCCACGATGGCCTTGAGGACTTCGTTTCCGATGGAGGGCAACACACGCTCGTCGTAGTCGGTACCGTATGACTAGTCAAGTATGATCAGAAAGGCGTGAACAAGATGTTGGGGGGGGGGGGGGGGAAGGGATCGGGGTGCGAACCTGGTAGATCACCGGCAGCTTCGGGACATCAGGACGGTGCAGGACTCGCAGGGTCAAGCTGACCATCTGCAAGTCTTTACTTCCGGTGGTGGTCGAGATATGGCGGGGCTTGGTGCGGACATCGTAGATGATCGCCCTCTGCAACCAGGGAATGAGGAAATGTGTGCCTTCGTTCACGACCTTCTCCTGCACACCGGACAACCGGTCGAAGATGACGGCGCGGGTACCGCCACGGACATCGTAGAGGGATTCGCCGAGAAGCCAGAATCCCACGAAGGGAGCTCCGTATGTGAACAAGAAGCGGTTCGACATGGTGGGGGGGGGGGATGTGCTGTTGAGAGAGGGGAACAGGAGGAGGGGTGTTGGGCTGTTGGGGTGTTGCGAGATGGAAGCTCTAAGGTCCGACTGAGGGATTCAATCCCGCTCACTGAATGGATGGGAGGAGATGATGTCGCGGGAGGCTTTTCGCAGGCTGTCCTGATCGGGACTAGTGCTAGGCGGTCTCGTTCGACTTCGACCTTCGCCCGTTTCGGTCCGAAAGCCAACCTCGAGTCGACTTTCTCAAGTTCCCTTCGGTCCTGCCTGCCTTCGTCCTATTCCCTTTCCACACCGCGTTTCCTAATACTACGAAACTCGTCGCATACCTTCACAATGGGTGGTCATCTCGATCCTAAGAACGGAATGTGAGTTCTTCCCTCGGGGCTGGTGCCCACACCGCGATCCCTAGCTTTTCCGGAGCCGGCTATCGTGCGGCCCTTGTCTACGGAGTCCTCGAGCCCCGTCTGTCCCAATGGCTTAGACGGCGAAAAGGGATGCATTGATACTCAGGAACCAATTGCTAACTTGTGGCCGGTATAGTTTCCTCGGCACGTGGGGTGACCTCGGTATGGCTCTTGAACCCTCTCTCCGAGCGTGATGATGTAGACAACGTCTGGGGGCGGTAACCACATCTTGATTGGGAGCATGGCTTGCGTTATTCGCAGATGACCAGGTCCAATCAATGCTGGATGCTCCTCAAGATGACGGTCACTAGCGATGTCATTCCGACAAGCCGACAATATGATGTGGCTGACCTTGAATCATTCCAGGCTGCCCTACTCCCCAGCGTATCACCTCCTACTCCCTCTCTCCTAACCGTCAGCGCCCTCTCGCCGGCGCCGGTCACGCCGCTATCTTCAACACCTTCCGCAGATTCAGACACCAGGTCCTCTACGTCGTTCCTCCCTTCGTTGCCGCCTACGCCCTCATGAACTGGGCTATTGAGCGGTATGCACTCCCTCTACCCGTCCACGGGGAACTTCTACTCCTACTTCTACATGATGCGCGCCATTGCAGCGACTGGCTGACTCGAAGCTGACACTGTAATCTTCTCTCTAGCAACGAGTACCTCAACTCCAAGCCTGGCCGCCTTCTCGAGGGTGGTGACGAGTAAATGTAACGTGCGATACCAAGGGGATCACTACGGGGAAGACATGTAGCCCAGGAAGAATGCAGGAATTTGTTTGGTGATTGCGATGTACAGTAACTAGAAGCAATCGATTGTGTTGCGTGTGCTGCTTTGCGTACGAGTAGTTCAAGCGTGGGGTCAGTATCTGTAATGGATGCGTTTAGATAGGTCGGATGGACTCCAGATCCAGGCGACCTTGACCAATCGTAGTGTCCGACCACCAATGCAGTGTGCGTGCTTTTCGCTGATTGACCCTCTCTGTTCTATGATAATGCCCTTCAAATAATCATGGATGTCTTGTCTTACACACCCGTTGAGCTATGTATCGATTGGAATTGTGTGTTGTCGCTTTGGCCGTGAGGATGCTGCTGCCCAAGTGCCTAAAAGGCATGTTTCCCTACCTTTTCCCTACAACAGCGGCGCACAGGCCTGACACGGCCATTGTTCGTGATGGGCAGTGAATGGGATCTCTTACACGATGGTCTTAGCAAAGTGGGAAGTCTACTTCTCTTATCAGTCACGTCTCATCTATAACTACTAAGCCGTTCAACAAGAATTGATCGATGTAATGTATTGTAGCTTGAATCTACAAAATGACCAAAACGGGTCAATGAAGAGAGAACTTGGGGGAAAAAAAGCTAGGGATACGGCGACCGGTACAGTCCATTACGCCCCGTACCCATACGTACTAGTAAATTTAGTTTTAGTGGACTTCAAGTCAACTTCCACAGCAAGTTTTAGTTGACATTCACAGTCTAAACTACCTACAGTGTGAGACTGTCTGTCTGTCACTGGGCAGAACTCCCTTCCCCTCCATTATTTTTTTTCTTCCCTCGCTGGATTGGGAAACCCCCCACTCCGCATGCGCTCGTCTTTCTTCTGGTCTTTCTGCCGTCCCTCTTCTTCTTCTTCTTCTTCTTCTTCTTCCTCTTCTTCCTCTCTTCTTTTTCGGTTCTCTTCACTTCCTCACTCACTTCCTCCTCCTCGCCCTTTTGTATTCTCTCGTTCGCATCTTTCGCGTACTTCTCAATCCGTCACCATGAGCGACATCACTCACCCCACTATCAAGGGCAAGTTCTTTCGCACCACCAACACCCCTCCATCACTGCTCAGTTACCCCACCTTGCCTATGTTGGGACTCTTCCCAAAACCAGTCCATGAATATTGAATACTCCTCAATGGACCAGGCGAGCTCGGGCTGATGTGACAATGCAACGTGCTACCTCAATTACAACTTTCCTGTCAATGCATAATGCCTAGGGATACCCCTCATCGCTAACCTCTTGCGCTCTGCAGATGGCTGGTTCTCCGAGCAGTCCAACATGTGGCCTGGTCAGGCCATGAACCTCAAGGTCAACCAGATCCTCCACCACGAGAAGTCCAAGTACCAGGACGTTCTCGTCTTCGAGAGCAGCGACTACGGCACTGTTCTCGTTCTCGACAACGTTATCCAGTGCACCGAGCGCGATGAGTTCTCGTATTTTTTTTTTTTTTTTTTTTTTTTTTTTTTTTTTTTTTTTTTTTTTTTTTTTTTTTTTTTTTTTTTTTTTTTTTTTTCCCCGCCCCCCCCCCCCCCCCCCCCCCCCCCCCCCCAAAGCCTCTCAACATTATCATACTTTACCTCTGTGTTACCTTACAGCCCACTCTTCTATAAGGCAGATTTACTTGCAGGACTGACCTTCATTGGATTATAGCTACCAGGAGATGATCACCCACCTGGCCATGAACGCTCACCCCAACCCCAAGAAGGTCCTCGTCATTGGCGGTGGTGACGGCGGTGTCCTCCGTGAGGTTGTCAAGCACGAGACCGTTGAGGAGGCCATTCTGTGCGACATCGATGAGGTACAACCATCCCATGAATGATACGGAGGGGAAACGTTCCAGCTCATGCAGTTCTAGGCCGTCATCCGTGTCTCCAAGAAGTACCTGCCCGGCATGAGCATCGGCTTCCAGCACCCCAACGTCAAGGTCCACGTTGGCGATGGCTTTGAATTCCTCAAGCAGCGCCAGAACGAGTTCGACGTCATCATCACCGACAGCTCCGATCCCGAGGGTCCCGCCGAGAGCCTCTTCCAGAAGCCTTACTTCGAGCTCCTCCGCGATGCGCTGCGCGAGGGCGGTGTCATCACCACACAAGGTTGTTCGTCGCCTTTACTTGGTTCTCATCTGCCCACTCTCACATGCCCAGTCTTGTCTTTCCCGCACCACTACACCTTCTTGTCTTTATTCTCTTTCTCATTATTTCTCTTATTCTGTTGTCTGATTTCTTTTTTCCCCCTACCCATTGATCTGTACCCCTTTCGTCTCCTTTTATCTCCGCCCCCTCCATTCCGATACTCCATCGTCTCTCTCGATTTACTCTTCAATTCTCAACCCATATGAAAGCTAACCAAATTATCCGACTACAGCCGAGAACCAGTGGCTCCACCTGTCCCTGATCACCGACCTCAAGAAGGCCTGCAAGGAGGTCTTCCCCGTCGCCGAGTACGCCTACACCACCATCCCCACCTACCCCTCCGGCCAGATCGGCTTCATGGTCTGCTGCAAGGACGCCACCCGCAACGTCAAGGAGCCCGTCCGCTCCTGGACCCGCGAGGAGGAGGAGCGTCTCTGCCGCTACTACAACCAGGACATCCACCGCGCCAGCTTCGTCCTGCCCAACTTCGCCCGCAAGGCTCTTAACTAGATCACTTAAACTTCTGTGTTGCATCTTCTCTCTTGTTTTGGGATCGGGGGCCTCCGGTCTGAGGCGCCTAGGGCGGATGATAATCGATGAATGATCTGACGATGATGAATATAACCAAAAGATTTCCCTTCATTTATTCTTAACCGACATGGTACTATACGCAACCGCGTAGAAACGGATAGAGTAATGCCGCTTATGTCCGGTGAAACGGAGCTCCAAGCAAAATCCAATTGGGAAAGGGCCGCCCGACCTACATGGGGTCAAAAAAAAACGATTCCGACGCGTACTACGTCAATACACTCAAGTAACCAAAATAGAAAATCGTGCATTTTATCTTAAACGACATTCGTTAAATAGGACTTCTCCTGAGGGGCCATCTAGGCCCTAGGATCAACATCGTCCATGAGAACCATAAACATGAAAATATAGGTAACAAGTCATCACGTCGCTAAAACAAGCCGTCTACAGAATCTGCTGGAAAGCACGGTTGATGGGCGAGCGCACCTTGTGACCCTTGTAGAAGTCAATGGTGGCGATGGCGCGCTTGCTGATGCCCTCGGGAGTGAACTCGAATTTCTGTAGGAACGGATTAGTGATGGTACATTTAAGCCAAAAAATGGGGTAAGACTTACAGCGTAGACCTCCTTGTAAGGACCGGAGGCACCGAAGCGGTTGAGACCGAACTGCTCGTGAGAGTAGCGCTCCCAGCCCATGGTGGTGAGGGCCTCGACGGAGAGGATGGGGATACCATCGGGAAGGACCTGGAGTCTGTAGGACTTGTCCTGGGCGTCGAAGACCTCGAAGCAGGGAACGGAGACGACGCGGGCAGCAATGCCGTGCTTCTCCTTGAGGTAGGTGGCAGCCTCGATACAGATGCTGACCTCGGAACCAGTGGAGATGAGGGTGACGGCAGCGTCGGGAGCGTCAACGGCAACGTAGGCACCCTTGAGAGCGTTCTCGATGGTAGAGTTCTCGAGGTGGGGCAGGTTCTGGCGGGTAAGAGCCAGAATGCTGGGGGTGTGCTTGGAGGTCAGGGCAGAGTAGTAGGCAGCGCTGGTCTCGTTTCCATCAGCCGGGCGCCAGACCATGCAGTTGGGCAGAGCACGGAAGTGGGCAAGAGTCTCGATAGGCTGGTGAGTGGGTCCGTCCTCACCCAGACCGATGGAGTCGTGGGTAGCGACGTGGATGGCGCGAACGCGAGAGAGGGCGGAGAGGCGGACGGCACCGGCGGCGTAGGAGACGAAGTTGAGGAAAGTACCACCGGCGGGGATGACGGTACCGTAGGCAGCGAGACCGTTCATGACAGCAGCCATGGCGTGCTCACGGACACCGTAACGGAGGTAACGACCGGACCAGTCACCGATGTTGTACTCAGGGGGCTGGAAGTCGACAGCGTTCTTCCAGCGAGTGTTGTTGGAGCCAGTCAAGTCGGCAGAGCCAGACAGGAGCTCGGGAACAACGTCGTGGATCTTCTCGAGGACAGCCTCGGAGAGCTTACGGGTAGCCACGGCAGGGTCGGAGGGCTTGTAGGTGGGAAGGCTCTTCTCCCATCCCTCAGCGAGCTTGCCGGAGAGACGGCGGGTGAGCTCAGCGTGCTCAGACTTGTACTCGGAGGCATACTTCTCGAAGAGCTTGTTCCACTCCTGCTCCGCGGCGGCACCCTCAGCGGCGTGCTTGTGGTAGAGGTCGTAGACCTCCTGGGGAACGACAAAGCTCTGCTTGGGGTCGAAGCCGAAACGCTGCTTGACACTCTCAATGTCGTCCGCCTTCAAGGGGTTGCCGTGGACACCACCGGTACCCTGGAGCTTGGAGCCGAAACCAATGGTAGTGGTCAAACGGATGACGGAAGGCTTGTCGGTGACGCTCTTGGCTTCGCGGATGGCAGCCTCAATGGCATCAAGGTCGTTGTCACCGTCCTTGACCCAAACGGTGTGCCAGCCGTAGGCCTCGAAACGCTTGGTAACATCCTCAGTGAAGGCGCACTTGGTGTCACCATCTACAACAATCAAGGAAGGTCAGTGGTCTGTCCAGTGAAAGACGGTCGTCTCAGAACCAGGCTACAGAGTAGGCCATACCGATGGAGATGTGGTTGTCATCGTAGATGGCAATCAAGTTGCCAAGCTTCAAGTGACCAGCCATCGAGGCAGCCTCGCTGGCAATACCCTCCATAGCGCAGCCATCACCGAAGAAGCAGAAGGTGTGGTTGTTGAACAGCTCGTAGCCGGGCTTGTTGAAGACACCAGCGGAGTGCTTCTGGGCAATGGCCAAACCAACAGCGTTGGCGAAACCCTGACCCAGAGGACCAGTGGTGACCTCGACACCGGGGGTGTCGTGGGCCTCGGGGTGACCAGGGGTGATGCTGTCAATTTGCTAGATGGGCGCTATTGTCAGAATCCCAGAGCGATACGCTTCAGACCAGGGGAGTGCTTACTCTGAAGTTCTTCAGGTCATCCATAGAGACCTTGTAGCCGAACAAGTGAAGGAGAGCATATTGGAGCATGCAGCCGTGGCCGTTGCTGTTTGGCAGGGTGTCAGTTGAGGGAGCTTGGAAGGGATTTGGCGGGCGAGCTGCACGCCCGGCTAAGCTTACGAGAGAACAAAGCGATCACGGTTGGGGAAGTCGGGGTTCTGGGGGTTGAAGGTCATGAACTTGTTGAAGAGAACGTGAGACACGGGGGCCATGCCCATGGGGGCACCGGGGTGACCGGAGTTGGCCTTGAAGGTGGCATCAACCTATATGGCGATTAGTCTATTTACTCGACACAAAAGAATCTCTCATCCGAAGGAATCCATTGCGCGGCTTTCTGCGGAAATTGTCACAGGGAGAGGGAAATGCTTACCGCCAACAGACGGATGGTGTTGATGGCCAATTGATCGACGTTGCTGTAGCCCATGATTGCGGTATCTGAAGTCAAACGAATGGTAAGCAAGAAGTGACCAGAGAGGGCTTTGGATGAGAGATCAAGATTGTTGTTGTCAAGAGAGGGGAGGAGGGGAGAGTTAGTATATGAGGGGAAGGACATACTATATTAAACTCTGTGTATAGGAAGGAGGAATTTAATTTTTGAAGATTGATCGTACCAACAATCAAAAAGGTAAGATCAACACGAGATGGGAGAGGGGGAAAAAACACGAGGAGGGAAGAAGGAGGGAAGGAGGAGGGAAGGAGAAGAAGGGAGAATAAAGATGAAGAGATTGGGGAAAAGGGAAAAGCAGCGAGACGAGGGGCGGGCGTGGGATGGAGGGAGGAACAACGCCCGGGATGGAGGGGGAGGAGATCGAACTGGGAAGGTGGGGTGGCAATGATGTCTGTAGTGGGGCCAATCCTCACCGGCACCCTCATCAATGGGATCTTACTGAGCATTCGATAATCATCCCGGACTACATTAGAATACGTAGTTATTAGGTGGAGCTCCAAGCTACAGTGGAAGCAATGGCGATATAACTGGGCGGTTCATCGGATAGGGCAGCTGTGGTAGTGATGAACGACATGATTTCTTCATATCAATGACGTCCGGAAAGGAGAAGCAGCAGCAGCAGCAGCAGCGGGAGAGAAGCACGGAGAATGAATGATTGAATGATGCATTCACCCACTCTTGCTGCCTCAGGCCAGTACTACAGTAAGTAAATGCATGCTTCCCTCCTCAACCCCAACGACTCAGTCAGATTAAATCCGTATCGATTGCCGAACAGCAATGCAGTTCCTCCCTCCATCTCATTCCTCATATACGAGCCTCTAAACTACACTGGTAATAGCAGCAGCCGTAGTCATTGTTCCCTACTCAGCCAAACAGCGAGATAGCTTTCTTTCAATGAGCTAGCGAAGGGATGCAGCTGTAAACAGCCTAATACTGCTCCCGTATAGCTGCAACCGCCAGCTCAAGCAGCAAGCTCCCTTCTCTTCCACACCTATCAATGGAACACCTGCTACCATCTGAAAATTTTCTCGAATGAGTTGGCACCCATCCCAGACCACCATCACCCATTAAACCCGATGAGAAGTCGGATTCCGGACCGGACTACATCCAGCAAGTACATCGGAAATAACTAATTCATTGGATTCATGTTTCCGATCTCCAGCCAAAACCGAAGAGGACGGAAAGTTCCCAACGCAGCAATTTTCCGGAACCATCGCCCGGAGTGCCTCTGTCCGCTGGGTCCGGAGGACGCTGCTCCGTCCCTCCTTCTCCTCCATCAATCACAATCGATCCCCCCATCATTCCCTCATTGAATTACTCCGGTAGTAAGTCGGTTGATTGATAATAAGAAGGGCTTCGAGAAGCTATAGGAGTAGCTCATCTGACCTTACTGGATTTTTTCTTTTGTCGTCCCGTTGACGATCTCTCCAACAGTCCAAAGGGAGGGAACCCTCTCGCCTGTCAGAGCGGGCATGCAGACACACGGGCCAACAGTCAGCTTGACGACCCAGTAGAATATTAGCCGTGGACGGAAGAATAGCGGCATGCCGGTTCTGGAATCTGATGATACGGGGACACCACCACTTTGAAAAGTCCAACACACAGACCGTCGCTACCCGTCCCTAACAATGCAGCACATCGATAATGTTCATGACAGGTAACGAGTATATCCTTGTTGATCAGAAGCCGCGCCACAGGGTTACCCTCCGGTTGCTGCGAGCTGAAACCCCATATCTCAGAATCAGATGTTCGAACTGGTCTAGAAAGAGTAATCCCAGGATGAATAACAGCTCCGGGCAACGAAGATGACAATCGTAACCAGAATTCAGCGGAAATTCGAGTTCGAGCATGGACTGATCCGGCGCACATCATCAATAGAGAAGCGCCATGAACTATGTCGACGTCGGTACGGAAAGGGCTTCGACGGGCTCGGGCAATGGAACACCTCGGAATATCTTCACACCGCAGATCAATGCTACCGATACTGTGGGTCCTTAACTTAGATCTTTGAAGAATTTATAGAAGAGTACATTCCTTACATACATCATAGCTGAATAAGTTTCAAGGTATCTATACAGCAGAATCTCTTCACTGTTCAGGATAATGAATGGTTGATGGAGACTAGTAGACAAGTAGGAAGTAACTTTTTACAGCGCACAAGTACTCAACGGCCGATATCGCCATGTTTGCCCATACCAGAGCAGTACAGAAGCAGCAGCTTACATTCCGTGCAACTATCTCACTTGCAGAATAGTACCCAAAACGCCCCAGGTATCACCAAACGAAAAAAAAAAAAAAACAAAAGAAAAAGTCCAACCACTATATACAGGTGACTCCCATTAGCGCACCCCGCTTGAGAACCATAAAGCATAACAGAATCATTCATAGAAATCGTAACAGCGGTGGCCCTACGCCAGGAACAGATCAAACGGCCAGCCGTCGATCCCAACCATTGATAAGCCCGAAATCGTGGACTTCGTCATCCACACCAGGAACCATGATACCATGGAATGGATCCAGAAGGTTGACATGCTCCTCAGGCGACAAGTGTACATCGTGGTAAGGAATCCCATCGCCCGGACTTGCCATGCTCTCGTCGGAGTAGCTGAGAACGCTCTGCGCCACAGCCTCCTGACCCTGTTGCAAATCGCTGTTGCTACTAGCGGACCACGCCGCTGGCGACAATCCTTGCAGCTCGCTACGCGACGTTGTATTGTGGTCGGGCTTGTGAGCATATTCGGCAGTGATGGAAGCGAACGGTCCGCTATCCTCGCCACATTCTCTCCCTCCATAAATTCCGGTAAAAATATTCGAATAGCCCCGATCCATGTCGCTCAGAACGAACTCCCAGTCCGACACTGTGATGGGGCCTGCAGCCGCATCCGAAGGCGCAGAGCTGGACAGAGCGTGACTGCTGTCGAAAGCCATAGAAGAAGACCGATGGTAGGCCTTCTCGGTAAGCATCTGAGACGCATGTACACTGTCCAAAGGTAGACTTGCCCAGCTAGAGGATCGGATATGGCGTGCGTTGGGATGAGCACTCGCGCCAGAGATTGTGGCACGTCGAGATGGAGAATCCTGCTGTTCTGTATGCGACGGACTCGAGTGACCAGTCAAGCGTGCTTTCCAAGACTGAAGCTGTTTCTTAGGAGACTTCAGGGGTTTCTGAGCTGGAGGGGACATGTCCAAAGGTCCAATCGAAGAGCCGTGCTTGTGGTTATCCAGGGATACCATAACACGGGCCAGTGCGTTGAACTCCGCAGCGACAGGGGACGACTCGGTTTCCAGCTGATCAACGACAGTTGTGATCCACTTCTGGCTCTCCTTCGCAAGTTTGCTATCGTGTTTCAAGTTCAAATTCTGCCACAGGAAATTGAGGCCAGTAGCGAAGATCAGCTCTTTCCGGTTGAAGCTGAGAGAAAGGCACAGGCGTCGCTCGTCGAGTAACTGTAAGATCTGGATTATATGCTTGGCTGAATCAGAGATGACGAGGAGCGAAGGCGATCGAACGCAGTCTTCTCCGAAGCAAACAGCAGGCCGATGGATCAAAGAGCGGATGAAATAATAGACAAGCGACTGGACACATGTCAGTAACGTTCTGGGCTCAATATGGGGATTGTTAAATGAACTTACCAGAAGCGGCGATCGACTGCTCGTGACATTCGTGCTGGGTTTGTCCTGTGTGAACTCAAGGCGAAGATGAGTGGGCAGACCCTTGACCCATTCATCAAGCTGCTCTGCGACCAAGCGCATCTTGGGCAAGGAGATATCGTAATCGCCATCGCCAGGATAAACATCCTCCAGAGCTTTGTTCAGCACTCTCGAAGCTGCAAACAACGCAATCGAGCTAGAAATGCGAGTCGTCTCGCCAGGAAGCGTGGGCAGGAAGCCTGTTTCAGTGACGTTCTCATCATCGATATCCTCGGGGTATTCGATTTGGATATCCTGCTCGCGTAGAACGACAGGAAGACCGGTCAAGGCCGCAGTGAACCTGTTCTGTGTTAAAAATGCATTCTGAGACGCAGGAGGGTACACACGACTGACCGATCAAGGACGTATTGACACCAGAATACCTTTTTCCGCGTCTCCGCCACAAGGGGGTTCGCAGCGAAGCGTTTCTGGCTCTGGTGAAGTCTCAATTGATGACAAAGGTTGACAGCGGATCCTCTATATAACCCAAGGCTCGAATAGTCGCCCTTTGCCATACAGTACATTTGGGCAAGGACATAGCATTGCAGGGTGTGGATAGAAATGTCGTTGGAGATGGACTCGAGCATCGGTGACCAATTATCCTCAAAGAACGCGGGGTCTTGGTTGGTCCTCGACTATGACAGAATTAGTCTTATTGATGGCCATTGCTTTCTGGATGGCCTGAATGGACTTACGGCAGAAGCAAGGGCAGCTATTCCAAAAATCAGGTTCAGCTGGGTGAGGTTGTGTTTGTTATCGCGTAACGACTCTGTGCTTGACAAATACTGCTCGTAGGCCTTGAGGATGGTAGGGCGATGGACAACCGGATATAGAGGGGCCCATTCCTGAAAAAAGATGTTGATAAGTTGATCCGAGACAAGCCGAGGCGGCGTTTTCAACGTTTGATCAATACGTGAGCGGGATATGGAAGGAGGAGCCGCAGTCAGCGCCTTGATCGAGAAGTTCGGAGGAAGTCGGTTTTGGTCGGAAAGCTTGTTGACAAAGGCGTCTGGACAGAAGTTAGCGAAATGCGTCCGCAGGCCAGCATCGACCACCAGGCCCAGCTCCACGCTAGGATGCAAGGTGGCGCAAACGTACCAACATAACCTTGAGTGCTCGAGACACCCGCGCAGACGGTGTGTTCATTTGCGTCCTGCGACTGGGATAATTGACGAACTCGGATTACTGCTTCCTCGACAGCGGGTTGGTTGTGCTTCACCGGTGCTGACGGTGATCGGGCCGTAGCATTGGCCTTTGCTTGTGACGAGGTTGAGAAGGAGTGGATTCGAGAGAGCACATCTATCTTTTCGTCCTTCTCATCCAGCAGGTTTTTAAGATCCCGTACTTCCGACTCGAGCGCGCGTACTCGTTCTTCCAACGATTCGGTGTAGCCGCGAGGGAAAGCGCGACGACTCAATTTATCGCTCGTTTTGCACTCGAAGCCAACGTTGGCGCATTGAGTACAGCATGGTCGGACACCGTCACAACGGATCTTCTTGCTTCGGCATCGATCACAGGCCTGGGCAATACGACTCTGGGCGCTGTTGCCGACCTTGATCACTTTCATGGGGAGAATTCCAGGCATTATGGCGGCGGGATGCTCTGGCGCATCTGCCTGCGAAGAGTTCAACTATTGGTCGTATCGGGTATTCGCGCAGATAAGCACGACACGATGACTAGCGTTGGTACAGAAACGAGGCCTAGATAGTATAGACGGCGATAGTGTCGAACTAGATGTATTTCCCAGGGAGGGGATATTGACGAGTTGAGGACAAAATCACGAGTGGGGGGTCTTTTGATGTCGAAATATGTCAGAGGTGACAGGGAGCAGTGGCGGGAAGCGTGGAGAGGAGGGGGAGGGGGGAAAAGGATGAAGGAAGTGAGTGGAAAAGAGAGCGAGAGGCACCAAATAAGACTGGGTTTTTGGTGTTGGGGACGGGAGTTAAGTTAATCATCCGCAGTGAGACGAGAGTTACTCGTAGTTTACAGTTGACGGTTCCAGTGCCGTCGGGACTCAAAAGGGGGGCCAGGTGGGGCTGTGAGGTGTGGAGTCATGCGCTGGGATCGTGCCCAATGGGAACATCTGGTTTACAGCGTTCATTCGCTCAGCCGACACTGGGCAGACAATTCTATTGAACCATGGGCCGTAAAGTTGAGGTATGTATTGTTACCTGCCCCGTGTAATTCTGGTGTAGGTGTAGGAAGAGAATGAGAGCATCACTTGAGGATGGAAGGCAGGTTCCTCGGCAGCTGGCTCGCAGCTGATTGTGCCGAGGATGTGCAATTTGTACTCATATATTATTATCTTTTACCTCGCGCAAGATAGACATATGCTCCAAGGCAACGACGACCCCTCCAAGATTGGCGACGTACATAACCTCCTGGCAATCTGACAGCCTACTTTATCACCACCAAAGGAAACGCCATCCCTGCAATTGCAGGCACCTTTCCGCTAACGGAGGGCGGCCCTAAGGATAATCCGCCACTAATGTAAGGCGAGTGCAGGGCGATTCTAGTGATGCATAAGGGCCACCCTCCTCGCCCGGGACGTCTAGGTCAAACCTGGTCCGATTTGAGGTGTAGACGCAGGAGCTGCAGACCTGATACGATTTGCTCTGTATATCGCGAGATCGAAATCGATGTACCTAGTGGATTATTGGATCCTATCGTCATGCATCCTGCCAAGGTCATATCTTCACCTGGCATGCTACAGGACTATCCCTATCGGGAATATGTAGACTGTCCAGCCTGGACCGACACTAGTTGACCTCGAGAGCGGTTCGGTTCTTGGAGATCATCAGCACTCCGAGCCAGAGAAGCTTTCCGGTTCCCACCAGAGCCAGTCCGATGTACTGGATTAGACTGGAGAATGGAAGATGAAGGTCAGTCTGAGTTGCCGCTTGCTCCAAGGGTCCCTTCAATACGGACAGATACGCTCGCTGTAAGCGTGTAAATTAGGTAGCCGGCTCCCCCGCAATTTCCTGGGCGGGAGTCAGCCTGATGGTGATCTTGGTCCATACCTACCGATAAATGAAAGCCTATGGAGTAAAGCGGCATGACAATGGGAATCATTGCTACGAACCCTGAAACCAAGTTCGATGCAGACCAGATCACTGTCCGACCAGAAATATTGCCCACTTGGAGAAGGGGGAATTCCGACTGTTGACCGATGACCGAATTATTCCCGTCGGTTCATTGGCTGGGTTCCTCTCCTCCTGCATCGGAATCCCTTGGTACCCTCCAATACACGCCGAAGTCTGAACTTCCAGACATCATACATCCATTGCCACGCTGATGTCTCCCATGTCCGAGGTTGGAGTATCGCGGGGAAATTGAACTCTATTCCAGGTGCAAAGCCTCGCTGATTCAGATGTACCATTCCATGTTCCTGGCTCTTCGTAGCTGGTGTCTCGAGTATAGAGAGGCTGACTTGTCAGTTTATGTACTGTAACTTAAGGTGATCCACTGATAGACCTCCTAGTGTCCTCGCAAGCACGCCCGAGTGTTCGCCGAGAAAATCACAGAAGTGGAGGCGAGAGTTTGGTCCCCCAAATCTGGTAGCAAGTGACAAGAACTGGAACGTATTGAGCCGCGCGTTGACTGCTCCGAATGCGAAAAACCAGTTTGTACTGGTTAGGGTACCAGCCCCGCCTTGAGCATTCATTCCTGAATGTGTCAAGGAAGAGAGCTGGTGTTTCATCCACGATGAAAGTAACTTAGTCGCTATACCTAGTACTAAACTGACGCTGCTAGAGCGAGCTGCAAGGCTCAGCCCAGCCCCTCATCTTTAAATGGTTGGACCCTTAACTACTGGAAATTGTATAAACAAGGTTTACCAAGGGCTACACGCAAACATCTATCGTACTCCCTTCTGTACGGTCAAAATCTTGCATCCTTCGGTTATACGAGTGTCAGACCGGTTCAACTTTGCGAGAGCCCCCTTGACGTGAAGTCGAGAACGCTCACTTGGTTGAAAGAACGTCATAGCGTAATTTCAGAGGCACTGAATCCAAACTCCAGGATGCGTGGTTCGAATGGATTTGCGCACATTGCCTGAACCATTCGAAAGTTCCAGGCGCAGTGATCTTGGCGGGATTTCCCCGGCTGGGGTAAACCAGTCAATCGCCAGTATTTCAGGACTGAAGGATCTTCCTCCCCGCGGTGGGTAAAGACGCAAACTCAGATCCCGCACCCACGTTTCGGGTCTCGCCTTCGATCATGCCATCTCTCGGGAACCCACGGCTGGGTTGGTTCAAAAACATGGGGTAAATCTCGATGCAAGGCTCGTATCCCTTTGTTGTGATATACATCTCGCACTTCAAAATAAAATATGTACTATGTAGTTCCTTGTGCGCATGATTCGCTGCCCACTGTTTTCCACGAGTGATTGCATCATTCGTCGTTAACGGAAGGAGTTTCTGTGAGGGTATTCCCGGGATTTACATTAATGCTTCCGTTCCTAGCAATCATAACCAGTTCAGCCTCCAAGGTCTCGGCAACTAATTGACTCATCATATACCTCAGACTCAATGGACAAAGCTCAAGGTTCAGGAGGCAAAATGAGTCAGGCTTTGTTCGCCCCGATTTACGGCCCAAATATCCGTGCCATATTGAATGACCGCCGACATCGCAGCGGTAGGGTCAGGGTTAGAGTTTAGTGCCATACACCAACTGATCTCTCGTACGAAGGATGCTCTTTTGCACCCAATAATTATACTATGATTGGACTTCAAAGCTTTCTTCTTTCTTTGCCTGTGCTGTGATAATGCGAGCGCTCGCCGTACTGTCGTGATCCACAGGCGCTTCATATATATAGAGCTCGGATATATATCCAACAAGTTCATCCCTACCATATTTCTTTTTGTTGTTAAGAGTCAATAAGCACCAGCTGTCAGATGCTGTGGCTATACCGTTATCTATACATGAATCTACTATGTAATCATTTCAAATGCATACTCAATTGCATCAGCTTGATGTTGATCTGACTTGCAACTAGTGGATGTTTACCTGCTATAAATCAGATTGTGGTTGTCACATGGCCATGTACTCCGTACCAAACCTTCTCATCCACAAGAACTTTGTGAGCTTAACTCCATCTGAGCATAATGAATCTAGGTCCTCGATAGAAGTAGCACTCCGAGCACTCCATGTACTTGTATCCCTGCAGAATTTCACATGAAACCTGTTGCCATACATAGCCACGTTTACTTACTGGTAAAGTTCAAAATTCCAATCTTCCGAGCAAGGTTCAATGAATTCGTGCCAACCCAAAGAGGCCTGGCGCCTTGTAAGGGCCCTCCGCCAGGCCAATTTCAAAGGGAGCTAACCACGCCTCGGCATGCGCAATCTATTAGGCCGAGCCTATAAAGCGGACTGACTATCCACCGGCAGGCTGTCGGGGATGCACCTCTATCGCAACCACCAAGCGATAAAGACGGCCGATCAAGAGCCAACCGTAAGATGGAAGCTATGGCGATATCATTGTTCGCTGCACCATAACCGCCTTTCTCCGCCGCGGCACAGATCAACCTTATCCTCCAATGCGAACGCAGCACCGGGCTAGAATTCGCTTGATCATCTTCCAATTTCAGAGCCGACAATACTTCATACCAGACTCACATGATTGAAAAGTGGTATCGAGCACTATCATCACTTTTTGGACCTATATGACGGTCACAATCACACTGGATAAGCGGAGAAGACACCGCTCTCCTGTGTGTGTTGACCCCAAATCTGGAGCTCAGCCATTCAAGTCGCAGGGATAACGATAACCACAGATCGAGAAGCCCAAACCATGCTTTGGAAAATGCTTGAGAATAGGCTTGATTCGAAGACAACTTTAAAGTCACCAACTGCCTGAACTATGGCGATAAGGCGCCCGTAACAATAGTGCCGAAATAAGCATCGACAACTCACTCCTCTCGAAGCGTGTCGAGATTACACCTTGTGCTTCTCTTGCAAAGTGGACAATACTCTGATGGCCATCATTCATTCATTCATTCATCATCTACGAACATGTGAAAGGCATGAAGCTTTGCCTAGATTGTCGAGATCTGTCGGAGAAATGTGCTCCGCGATACTTGCCCATGTTATCATTCTTGGTTGTTGGAACTCATCATCATGAAGGCTGAGCCCCTGGCTGCAGACAGGTACGTCACGAATAGACGTTGAAGTGCAAGAGGGTATATCCAAGAGTGGATACTGCCATAGCAAGTGGATATTGAAGATTCAGGGGTCAATGGCGATATGGTGAGATCTCCAGGGTGGGCTGGGGTGAATTTTCTGAAGATGGCATCATTGATATGATGATCCTGCCCATCCAGGGACTGGGCATCTTCGATGACCTCAATCCAACCGATGGCAAGTCAGACTCAACCTCAAACAGAGAAGAGAGAAGAAAAGCGCGGAATTTGTTTCCCAGGAACCACAGTTTCCTACTGCGACTACGATTGCCTACTGCTACCAGGCCTAGTATCGTAGGTGGACAGATCGAATCCAAGCAGGGGATATTTGATCATTGATTCAATGAAACTGACACTCATTCGTTCACAGTGGCTCCATAATTCGAAAGTGGACACTTGTTCAGGTTGCAGTTGAGTTGGAAAATTGACCGTTGTGTGTTCCCAGACTGGGTTGAGTGCAAGGCGAACCAAGGAGAGCTCGGCCCTTATGACGTCGACATCGTTAACGTCACCGGCCATCAACAACCATCAATCACCCACCACACCCTCCTCAAAGACAAAATATTAAAAGCTGCTTGTTGCCTCTCACAAACCTTCCTTCATCATCTCAGAACACAACCACTCACAAACAATTCAACTACTAAACAATCAACACTTCCACCCTCTATCACTCCCAAACAACCTCATTTCCACAATCACAATGGCCGACGCTACCTTCCACACCACCCAGCAGGACATCCGCAAGCCTGAATCCCACGCCTCCCACGCCCACGCTGGACAGACCCCTGCCAACTCCAACGTTTCCGCCATGAAGGTAAGGACATCCCATCACTAGCTGCTTTCCTCCCTCCAGCCCAGTTTCTAACATCATCGACACAGTCCATCGTCGACGAGCACAACTCCAACAAGGGCGAAAAGATCGAACAGACCAAGGCCAACCTGCCCCTGCCCGACCAGCCCCCCGTCGCCAGCGACTGGAACTCCGCCGATCAGAGAACCGTCAACGTCGGCTCGGGCGGTCGGGAAGGCCCCGTCTCCGGCGAGAACAACAGCGCCCTCCGCGAGCCCGCCGCTGCCAGCAGCAGCGTCCGCGTCGATGGATCGGAGCTGCACCAGAACACACAGCCCGGCAGCGGCGTCGGCCGCCAGGGTAAGGACAACCTTGAGGGTCTGCCCAAGGATGCCCTTGCCCGGTAAATACCTCGATGCTACTGCTACATCGAAAAGCCTTTTTCTTTTTTAAGCATGTACTATAACGAATGAGCAATTTAATGAATGATCACGGTCTCCGAGAGCAATGCTTCGTGGAACTTGTAGTAAAGGGCTTAAGTTGAGACGGCCGATAGAGCTGGGCTGGCAACAATGTTCTTGAGTTCGATGTGACGGGAGCTACCCGAATCTCTTCATATCTACTGTACTGTACGGGCAGTTTCATAGACATACATGAAATTTCCCTCTGCCTTTTTGGATATCGTGCCCGCCCGTGAAGCGTACAGGTATAATCCACGCTTTATTCATCTAACCACTAGGACGTAACCCACTGTGCATATTGCCTAGTAGTTCCCCGATATCTCAACCGGCCGAATGCAATAGACGAGCAATTCGCGAGACAGAACAGGCAGGTATTCCAATCTCTATTTCTCTAGGTAGCAACAACCCCCGCATCGACAGTACGTATCCTCATGCAGCTACCATTTGCAGACCGATAAGAAAAGAAGTGAAGGCGACTGATAGGGACCAAATGACGTCATTTACTCAACTCCACAAGGGAGGAGTACAAGCACCGACACCCAGAACATTAGCATCAACCGCCCTCATGGCGCAATTCCGACCACTTCTCTACAGAAAAAAGCATCAAATCAAGTTCCGGGCATACCGGAAAAGGTGACCAAGCGTGTGGGCCGAACGCTGGCCATCTCCCCACTTCCTCCGGCGCGAAGAGCGATCGAGGGGGGTCCAGAATGGGCGGATGCAGGATGGGAGGAGGAGAATAGCGTTGAGCATTCAGTTTTCTGCTTCCCTGTCATCGATCGGAAGGTTGACGCCACAGGGCCCAGCTCGTTGACGTATTTCTGTGCTGATTGTGCAGTGATTCGGTTGTGTTGTGCTGGCTTTCTTTGGTGGGCATGTAATGTCAGAGTGACATCATGTAGCATGCTCCCATGTATTGCCCGTGTTGACGACATGCGATTTCGTGCTATCCTATATAGCCTGCTCAATTGCAATCGAAGGATAGGAGTAGAATCAAATCAGACGAACACAACAACAGCCATCGAACCATCCGCATCACATCAACTAATCACTCAAAACTATCCTTTTTCACGAAAACTCAATCTTTTCGCCATGGATCTCCAAGGACAGCCCATCCCCCCCGGCCACCGCAGCACCAAGGTAAGGTTTTATTCTACCGGAGCCTCCTCACCCATACACCCCTGGGGAACGATGCCCTAACACGATATGTATAGGTGACATCGGACCCCGAGCGCTACGAGCAACCCATCCAGGAGCCCTCGGGCCCCGTCACCAAGGACTCCCTCGCAGCCGAGTCCGCCACCAAGGGCGGTGCCTTTGCCCAGAACCGCGGAGCCCAGCCCATGGGCGTCTCCGGCCAGAACTCCACCGTCACCAACACCGACACCTCCAACGCCCGCAAGATCGAACCTGCTTCCCAGCAGCCGCAGCCGCAGTCGCAGCAGCCGAACACCGATAAGATCCACCCCCACCAGCACCAGCCCAGACACAACGTTGGCCAGCAGCAGCAACAGCAGCAACAACAACAACAACAGAAGCACCAGCAAGCTCCCGCCAGCGGCAGCGGCTACCAAGGCGGCGTGGCGCCGTCCTACGTCCACGACGTCCTCGACAACCTGGGCAACACCAAGCCCAAGGGCACCAACCTCCAGGAGGGCGACATCCCCGACGACGCCCCCAACGCCAGCTACACCACCGATATCGGCAGCGAGAACGATCCCGGCCGCCTCGCGCAGGGCGGCTTCCAGCTGCGGTCGGCGGAGAGCGGCCCCGCGGGCACCCCCGCCGGCCGCCAGAAAGGTGTTGACGACCAGCAGCCGTTCCAGGCTCTGCAGTCGGACCAGCGCGCTTAGGTTACGGGCGTGATGGATGAGGTTATGAAAAAGCAAAGCGTGATTCTTTTATTCGATATTGTATGAATCTGTCCCTGAGAAAAAGCCCCTCCTAGTATGATGCTGGGGCTAATATGTCGTTTGCGAAGAATGGACTGGGTCCCGTCGCAATTGTCAATGAAATGTATTTTTAGATTGATTGGACGCAAATATAAGACTGTCTGGACATTGTTCTCGGAAATTGTTACTACTGTAATATGGGGAGGGGTGGGGGGCGGCAATGCCCGTCACTATCTACGAGGCAAGTCCCAATTCAATACCGTTCAAAGCATTTGATTGTCTGCGGGCTAGCTCCTCGACCAGATCATCTCGAGATATACCGGTTGTAGAGACAGTCTCGATATGGTCGACCCCGGAGTAATTGTAGATAACCCCCCATCTGCAGCCAATCAGTACAGGAAGGCCGAATGTCACATTATGCACTTACATCCGTTGAACGCAATCACAGAATTCCCCGGGTCGCTCCATGAACGGAAGCCACAAATCTTCCAGCAGCCTATTGATCGGGGGGTTGGCGTCCTTGATGCGAAACCCGATGGAACTGATGACTTCTTGTTTGGCAGGGGGCTCCGTGAGTAGTGAATCACCATTTTTGCCAGATCGGCGTTGATGCATTTGACCGGATTGGCTTAATGCGAAGACCCAGTGAGACAGGCAGTATTCCCTTGAAACGAGCTTAGCCTCGATCAAGCCCTCGTCCATTGTACGTCGGACCGTCGTGTCCTGGTCCACGGTATCTTGGTAAATAGTACCCATTGTGAATGTCAGGACACCTTTGTTTTTGAAACCCCTCAATATCCCCGTCTGATCCTTCGGTATACTGGACTGAAGTAGTAACAGATTATTGCAACTAGAACGAGTATATACCAACCGAGATGCAGGAAGATTAGTGCTTCCAGCGTCAGAAGTTAAGCAAGCCCTGGTAATGGAACAAGTCATCAGATGAAACACCAAGGATAACCTGGACAAGTACGAAGGACGCATCAAGGCGATATCACGTACTTGAATTGACATAAAGAGGTGCAGAGGCGGCGTCTTGTTGCAGGAATATAGAGGCTTGCCCATGCCGTCCTCGTCGAGGTTGGAAATCGGACGAACTTCCAGAGACTCCAAACAATATGGTAATAGTTCCTGATAGTAAATTGTACTGGCTCCCCTGTAGGGGTTCCTGACTTCTTGAAGCGTAGGAGCTGGATACTTTGGGTCTGTGTCCCAAGGCAGAACAAAAGAATCCGGACGGACCTCGTCCACAGCTTGCTCTCGATGTAGAGAAGTCTTCAGCCAATGGTGGAGTGTCTCGAAGAATGACTTCCACTGGGCATATATGATATCAAAGAGGGTTTTCAGAGCCATGGACTGAAAGTTCGTATCGGAGATCCGAGAAGATGAGCTGGAAACGTACATGTCTTCGCACTTTGTAGACGCTACATGACACTGTGCTTACAGATGCGTCATGTATGGAACTGGCCTATACCGGTGTCGAGCTACATGGGATATATTAGAGTGCATAACATTATGGTAACAAAATGTCAGGTTTTATACAAATATTTGGCCGATCTTCGACAATATCTCGGCCAGATTCCGATGATTTTTCGAGAAATGTGAAGCCTAACTGACCGTCCAGTCAAATTCTCGAAGGCTGCCTCGGATGATATTACGGGTTCACTCACAACTTGGAAAGAGCACTCGATAACCTTGAACATAAATCCGACTTCGGGTGCAGACCGATGCACCCAATGAGCGTTGGGACCCTCCGCTATGGCGTCACGTGCCATTAGCCACCATATTCGGCCCCCTAAGCCGTTGGTGGCGCTCAAGTACATTGACCAGAATGAAGGAGCTCCGGGAATACTTAAGAACGGGCGGCCTTCTCGCGCGCCGCTTGAGTTGGACGATTAAGACAATATGGAGCTGCCAACCAGATGGACAGCACACTTTAAAACCTGTATTCATCCCCAACAAATCTATCATCCACCTACACTAAGCTCTTCTTTAAAAGTACACTTCAACCCCTTTCCCTGTCTTTCCAACTGGTATCGCCGACATCTCCGTATGATGAGCTCTGCAAGCATGCCACACCGCGACGCGGGTCTCTTCCAATACACCAGTGGCCGTTGGCTATGGGACGAGGAGCAGCAACTTCGAGAGCGATTTTCGCCTTTCAATGTGCCCGAGTTGCAGAAAATTGCAGCACAAAGTGTCGGAGCAGATACATGTACCGCAATTACAAAATTAGCCGAAGGATCATTCAACAAAACTTTTAGACTTCAAATGAATAATGGATTCTCTGTGATTGCAAGAATATCTCATCCTATCGCTGGGCCTAAATACTATACTACGGCGTCTGAAGTTGCAACAATGGAATTTGTAAGAATTGAAATTAATTTAGTATACATAATACCACTGACCCAGGCAATCCAGGCCCGTACAATCCTCGGAATACCAACACCTCAAGTATATGCTTGGAGCGCTAATGTGAATAATGCTGTCGGTTCTGAGTATATTATAATGGAAGAAGCCTCCGGTACCAAGCTGGATGATATATGGGACGTCATCCCTCTTGAAGAGAAGATAGAGATCATGAAGGATCTTGTCCAATTAGAGAAGAAGATGCTCCAGGTACCACTGAATAAGTAATATCTTCAAAGCCAACTTGATCTGTGATGTTGCTAATGATGACTAGCTATGGTAGTTTATACTTTGCGAGTACTGATATCAGAGGTGCCACGCCAGTGGACACATGTACGGATGTATCTTCGGATCTCAAGGACAAGATAAATCGCCGATTTGTCATTGGCCCAGTCGCGGAAAGACAATACTGGTTCAAAGAACGTGCAGAGATGGTTTTGGATCGTGGACCGTGTTTGTTATCTACCTATCTGCTTGTTGTCTTGACTGACCCATTGAAGGGAAACAACCGCAGGATTACGTTCTCTCTCTGGCCCATCGAGAAGAGGCATGGATCCAGAAATATGCAACACCCAAAGACGATGCGCTAGTGACCTCAGCCACGCAGAATTCACCCAAAAGCCATATTGATTTACTACATAAGTATCTTAAAGTGGCACCTTATCTTCTCCCAGATGCTCCTGCAGTAGTTGCACCATATATTTGGCATACAGATCTACATGCTGGAAACATCTTTGTCCAAAAGGGAAAAGTTTCCAGTGTGATAGACTGGCAGGGTCTGTGGGCAGCACCGTTAATACTTCAAGCACGCCATGCAAGACTAGTTGATTATAATGGGGAGGTCATTTTAAAAGCTCCGGCGAATTTCACAGATCTTGAACCAGCAGAAAAGACTCGAATTAGAGGCCTTATGAGTAGCTCGATACTACTCTACCTCTACGAAAAGCAGATTGCTAAAGATATACCTCTTCTCAATAAAGTCCTTCGATTTGATTACGGCAGGATACGGTGCGAACCCATCCTATTTGTGGGTGACACATGGGATGATGATATCATTCCCTTGCGAGAATCATTGATAAGGCTCGAGAGGTAAGTACTTCTCAGGCTATCTTGTAAACCATATTACTAATAATACTTCAGAAGCTGGAATGAGTTGGGATTTGATTTTCCATGCCCTATCCATTTTACAAAGGATGATCTTCGCATTCATACAGAAGAAAGTGACGGGTGGAACAACGTTCAGGAGTTTTGGGACTCGGTTGCGCATATAGTATCAAGAGATGGTTGGACACCACATCATCTATATCACAATGCCATTTCTCTTTTTACGGAGTTACGAGATATTGGCCTCAAAGGTTTGGTAGGCAAGGAGAGAGACACATTCGAAAAACAGACGCAGTGGGTCAAGAAGCATTAATTCGTCCGCTCTTTCTTAGCTGGTTTTTTTTTTTTTTTTTTTTAATGATAATCCGGAGGGCTGCCACACAAAGCAAACTTGCAGTCCATGCACCCAGACAACAGTTTCCTCGTTCCGGAGATAAGTTGTCCGTATCCTGTAAGCCCGGTTGTCTTGAACTAGGATTTTCATAGCACAAAGATATAACCGAGAGGATTTCATACGAAAAAGGAAAGAAAGTTACTTCAAGCATAAGATAATGAATGTTTAGTACAAAAAAGAGTAATATAAATGGACCTAATCTTAGAGACGCAGAATACTTGGGACTTCCTGAGGACAAAAAGAGAGCCCCGAACGCTATTTCCCTCTAGGCTTTGAACATGTCACCGGCCGGGCTTCAAACTTCAGATTTCTTGACCATCGTCTTTGCAGGGATTTCACATCCCTTCCAGTGAGCCCTCCGACCGAAATTCCTCCTCGGTATGTTCCCATTCAAGTTTTCTGGACACCAATTGACGAAGGAGCTCATCTTCCGCATCCGAGTAAGGCCGGCCCCGTTGGCGGCTGGGGAATGAATGAGATGCTTCTGCTCGAGCCCTTGCCCTGGTCAAAGGGCCCCTGCCCGTGGCAAGCTCGGCGTAGCCCAATATGCTGCACACGGGCTCCTTCCGACGGTGACACTTTGACCGGGAGATTCTAGATGGGCTACACACGGTAGTCTCGGCCACAGGCTGGGGCCCTCTGCATCCAGAGGAAGTGGCTTGTGATTCTTCATCCAACTGGCAGGAAGGTCATTGGATCCTCTGATCCCCACGGATCGGACAAGCCACTCTTGATTCCATCAGAAAGCGGAATCATTGGGCTAATCTCCCCATTTCAGCCATCATCGGCAACGTCGGGGTGGCCTTCACCGGGCTCGCCTGTCCAACGAGCTTCAGATATAGCCAAATTGTTTCGGAACCGTTGTCCACAGTTTTATAGGCTACCGAAGCTTTGCAGCTCTCAGCATCACTTCTTTTCCATATCCCAGAGAACAATTCATCCGGGTGGAGCAAGTCGTCGCTGTTAATGCTGCTTGTCTCGTCACAGTCATTCTCAAGCCCGGTGACTGAACCTGGGCGGGACAAGATCACTGGTAAAGAATGAGCCCCGGGCAACAATATGTAGGAGACCTGGACAAACCTTCGCTGGATGCACGGATAACGCTATCTGTGTGAGGACTACTAGACAGCCTATTAGGAGCCGACTAAGGTTCCAAGACCCACAATTGGGGCTTCAATGGAATACACGCCTCAGAAAGCCCGTCCGTGTACTCGTGCCCACGCGCCTCACGCGCCTCACGCGCCCTAGATCTGGAAAAATGATTGTTGTATTCAAAGGGAAATGGGAGGACCAGAGGGGAGGAGGTTCTTATATACTCCTAGGAGGTGAACGGGCAATGATGACAGTACGGTGTCCCAGAATTAGAAGTACAACCAACAACCTTGAATTTGAAGCTATCCCCCTCAAGCAGGAGGCAAAAACGCAGCATAAAGCACTCCCTGAACAAGAGCATACACCACCATATAATTCACAACGAGGCCACCCCTACCCCTCCTAATCCACCCACCTAAAACCTTCCCCGACAGCCCTCTCTGAAGCAGTAAATAAGCCACCCAGACATACCAGACCGGATACCCCGACGCCATGCGCGTGATGATCTGCACATGATGATTGAAGAAGGTAAGCACCGCAATCACGACCTGCGGGACCGCCAGACTCCGCAGCAGCCGGTCCGTCACGCGAGCTTGCGGCGGCGAGTCCCGCAGCTTCTCGACCTTCGCACACGGCAACTCCAGCGACGACCTCAATTCCCCGCTCAGAGCCTGCCATCCCGACGCCAGCAAGATGGCAAGCATGGGGGCCGCGAGGCCGAACAGCGGGATGTTGGATACCGTCCAGTACCGCAGAAATCCATTATCCCTGGTGTACATAGTTGAGTAAGTCAGTCAGCTAGCCATCGAGGGCGAGAACAAACTCGGTTCATTGCGAAGTGTTCAACAGGGGCTTACCAGTAGTGATCCTGCACGTAGCTATAGATACTGGGCAGGGTTCTCCGACACCACACCCTCGGTTCTTTGGGGGATGTGCAAAACTCCCGGTAGGCGATGTACTGCGGGAGGACGAAGCCCAGCCCCGTGCAGAGCCCGGCCGTCCCGACAGCGAGTAAGCGCCGCAGTCTGGCGGGCGAAAAGCCTTGCCAAAACAAAAAGACGAGCTGCCGCACCGCCTCCTCGAAGAGTGGGATGCCGTTCAGCAGGCCGTTACTCCGGAATGTCGTGGCCAGGCCGTACAAAACCCCGGCCAGGACGAGTTGGGTGTCTTGAAATGAGCTGGAGCTAGGGCTCGAGGAGGAGGAGGAGGAGGCGAAGCTCCGGACAAACAGCAGCGAGCCACAGAAACTCAAAAGCGCATGTGCACTCTCCGCACAGGGGGCCGACAGGAAAGCACCGGCCGGAGACACCACGTGCAAGCATGCGGCGAGGAGCGCGACCTTGCGGCCCGGCGCGCCGGGGAATAGGGTGCAGACGAGATGGTAGAGTACGATCACGGATAAGCCATGCGCAGCGTGGGAGATTGAGATGCCCACGAGGCTCTCGTTGAAGGCATAGTCGAGGATGCCGAGTTTGCGACAGCCTAAGGGGCCTGTTAGTCGGGAGGATTTCTGGAAGGACTTCTACTGTCGTTGGTCTATAGCTCAGGGAAAACAGTACCATTCGCCAAGGCATGGATAAGTCGATTGTATCCGTACCCGAAGGCCCATTCTTGCTCGAAGATGTAGCCCCGATTGGCAGCGTGAGTGTAGTATATAGCATCCCATCGGGTCAATTTAGTCGATATAATTTCCAGCATGGCTGGCAATGGTGCTTTGGTTGGACTGTTCCATTGAATCAGCGTGGTCGAGGTGTCATACCCGGGCCCCGGTGTGAAGGCAGCCAGTAATAATAACAGGCTTTTCCACAGTGTAAAGACAGCGAGTAACGATCGATAAGGGCGACTAGCGTCCACTCGAAGCATCAACGCCATAGTCCCTCCCTGTGTGGTTCAGAGTATTGGTGTGATGGGGTCTGAGCAGATGAAGGTGAAGACACTCGGGAGCAGATCCGCTGCCCGCCAAGCCTTCCCACTCCCTCCCGTCATGCTTTCATTGCATGCCCTCACCTTACGCAGCAATGCTAATTTACATCATGTATAAGTTACCACTCGCATTGACCGTTAGCAATGAGCGATTCCGGTGTTGGCCTGTTGGCCCACGCACTTGGCAGAATGGCAAGGCAGGCTTACTAGAATGGGCGTAGAACTACTCCCTACAGTCTCGTAGAAAGAATGATATCTTGTCAGTCAATTGAGTTTAATTTTGAAGACATCCTGCCTTTTTTTCATACACCATTTGCGAACGCCAGATTTGCAACGGACACGTCATAAAAGATCAACCCATATAAGCACGTCCCAAAGGCCAGACCCCAAAGACATGCACTGCCTTGTCAGACATCAAAGTGGAACTGTACAGCCATCGCAAGTTGACAAGACAAAATAAAGAAGCCATATAAATTAGGAAATAACGGAAAAAGAAGAAATCACCCGATGAACCTTTTACAGGTTCACCCGCTTCAGCTCCTTCTGAGCCAGCTTGGCCAACTCCTCGTACACCTCGGTGAAGTCCTCACCATCGTCCTCACCCTTCTTGCCCTTGGAGGCCGACTTGGGCACAACCATTACGACACTGGTGGGGCGTTTCGTGGCGGCAGAGTTGCCGAGCTCAGCTCGGGATGTGACGAAGACATATGGGATTCCGTGGTCCTCGCACAGGACGGGGATGTGAGAGATGACGTCCATGGGCGAGATGTCGGCGGCAAGAATGACAACGCCGTTGGGAACGGCGATGGTGGCGTTGGCGGCGGGGATGGGAGATTTGCGGAGGGCCTTGACGACTTCCTTGACACCACGCTTCAAGCATTTGTTGACAGCAGCTGTTTGGAACATTTCAATTAGTACATGGTCAGGCAGGGAAGGTCGCGTTGATCAGTCGAAATCCGCATTGATTCCCGGGCTCATCTATGTCCTTAAGACCAGAAGCCCAGGACTCAATGCATTGTAGAGAGTCTGTATTGATGTAGGTAGATGCTCTTACCCTTCTTCACGCTCTTCAGAACCTTCTTGGCCTGCTTATCCTCAACCAGAGGCTGGGCGAAAGGAACGAGGGCGCCAACGGGGTTGCTGTCGACATCCATGACCTCAGCCTCAACAACACCAGTAACGCTGGCATCAGCAGGGACAGCCTGCTCAATGCCCTCCAGAACCTTGGTGGTGAGCTCCTTCTCGACGGCTTCGGCGAGAGCGGTCTTGTCCTTCTTCTCCTTCTTGTCCTTCTTGCTCTTGGTGATTCCGTCCTTCTCCGCGCGCTTCTCCTTTCTCTCGCGCTTGTCCTTCTTGTCGCTCTTATCCTTAGCCATTGTGAATATTAGACCCCACTCGAGGATTTGATTCTGAGTCCGGAAAGAGGGGTTGCGAGGGCGAGAGAGAGGGCGATGGGCGTGGGGGGGAGAAATAGTCGTCCGGTCTTTTGCTGAAACCCGCAAAAATTCGAAATCCATTCAAAATTTCGGCGCTAGTCCTATTCTAAAGTGTGAGCTTTCGCGGGCGGTGAGGGGCTGAGTCAGCACGGTGGCCGTCGTGGTGGGTGCGGATGTTCATCGCCGCGCATGCAACCCCAAACAAATGAAGTAATGGTTGATGAGTTAGGTCCTTGAGTAATGCTCGCTTGTACTTCCCGTCGCCAGACTGGAGGTCAAGCCTATGCATATCTGTGATCCCTAGCATTGACTGTGCTGCATTGCTATTTAAAGGTGAAGCGTCCAGTCAGGTTCGCTTGGCCTGCTTCTATCACTCAGTGTACGTCCAACCTCCCTTTGTCGCATGGCATAATAAGAGATTTCGAAGGATCCAATTGACGGAGACGTTCACAGATGAGTTCAAGACGAAACTCGCGTGCAGCATGGGGCTCTCCCCCGCCTGAATCCCCTTTGGCGCTCCCTCCAGCTCCAAGTGTCTTTCAGCTATCGAATCGTCTGGCAGAACCAGCTCACCCTTCGAAACCAGGTGAGACCTACACCCCCTCTACTATGGCGCGGAAACCCTGACCTATCGTCCTCCCAAGATACCGAAAAGGAAGAACTGCGCGTCCAGGTAAACACGTTAAAGTATGAACTGGAAAACTTCAAGCAAGAGCGAGACTTGATGATATTGCGCCATGAGAAAGAGCTGCGGGAATTGCAATTGAAGGCAGATGCGGATTTCCGCAAAGCCCAGGTACGCCCACCCCTCTAAAATGACGGACGTGTTTTCTGTATGGCTAATTTATCTTCCTTGGGGGCTCGTGCTTAGGTAGCGGAATCGTCCAGTCACCGTGCCAGCCACAAGAGCGAGACCCTTGCGAAAGAATTGAAAGAGGCCCAGGACACCGCACTAAATGAGAAAGCGGAGCTGGAGCGAAGACTTCGGACCCTCCAAGACCAGAACCAGTCCCTGCAGGAAGATGTCGACGACACCAAAGCGCAACTGCTCGACCAGGAACGACAGTCCAAATATCAAATCAACGAGCTGGAAACGATCCGATCATCGCTCCAAAAAACACTCGAGGAGCTGCAGAACGACCTCCAGACTGTACGAAGTGACATGAATACCACTCAGGCAAAGTTGCAGGAACGGGAAACGGAAGTCGCAAACCTGGAATCGGAAAATCTCCGCCTGAAAGCCGAGGGCAGCGACACGGAGGCACTGTCCGTTCTCAAGCGGGAGCTGTCGGACCAGGTCAATCACATCAGAAACTTGGAGACTACAAATCGTGAACAGACGATCGAGCTACGCCACCTGCGGAAGGTGCAGAAGAATGTGGAGGTGGTAGAGGAGCAGAAGCGATCGTTGGAAAACCAGCTACAACTCATGAAGGGCGTGGAGTCTGAGCTAGGGACCGCTCAGATTCAGATGCAGATACTCGAAGACGAGCGACGGTCCTGGACCAGCCTCTTGCAGGATAATGACCAGCCCGCGGAGCTTGACTCTCCGGAAGCGGTGGTCAAAGCTCTGCTGCAGGAACGGATCGAGAAAGCTACCCTTGTTGACAAGCTGGGCAGCATCGAGGCCGAAGCCCTGGAGAAGGAGGAGCAGATCCGAAGCCTGGAAGCCGAGAAGACCACCCTGCGCCAGGAACTCGAGAATATTCGCACAACTGCCTCTGCAGCCGGCGGAGCCGCCGCAGAAAGCCGCGCAAAGTCCCGCCTGGAGAGGCAGCGCACTCTTGCCATCAAGGAGGTCGAGTATCTTCGTGCCCAGCTGAAGACCTTCGACACCGAAGAGGAGACCATGAATGCCGAACAGAGTCAGTTCGACCAGCAGAAATCCGAGCAGATCGCCACATTGGAGAAGCTTGTCGACGAATACAGAGCCGAACTGGCCAAGGTCCACGAGGAGCTTTCTCAGCGTGAGTCGGCGGCAGAGACGCAGCAGCCGCAGCAGCCGCCGCAGCAGCAGCAAGACGAGCCTCGCGGCGTCAAGCGGCCCCTCTCACCAGCCGAAAGCGACGCCGAGAGCGAACGCCTGTCCATCCTGGCCCGCAAGAACCGCACCCTGCAGGACACGCTCACCAAATCCGAGCAGGCCACGACGCTCCTGCGCAAAGAGCTGGAGGCCGCCAAATCGCAGCTGCGATCCCTCAAGGCCAAGTCGCGCACGCGCATCCTCGAACTGCGCGACAACCCCACCGCCGAGGCCGAGAACCTGAAGATGTCGACCCTCCGCATCCTGAAAGCCGAGAACCAGGATTTGCTGGCGCAGCTGCGCGGCGGCGGCAGCAGCAACATCACCAACGCGGACGTCCAAGTCGTCCCTGTTAGCACCCTCGAGAGCATGAAGCTGGACATCCAGGACATGGAGCGGGCCGTCGCCGACAAGGAGAAGCGCATGCGCCGCCTGAAGGAGATCTGGACGGCCAAGTCCTCCGAGTTCCGCGAGGCGGTCGCCTCCCTCCTCGGCTTCAAGCTGGACTTCCTCCCCAACGGCCGGGTGCGCGTGACCTCCATGTTCCATCTCTCGCCGGCATACCGGCACGGTGGCGGCGATGGAGGCTCGTCGGACTCGCAGGGACCCGGCAGCATGGGCAACGGCGAGGAGAATTCGATCATCTTCGACGGCGAGAATGGGACCATGAAGATCTCGGGGGGTCCGAATAGCCTCTTCGCGATGGAGATCCGGCCTCTGGTGAAGTTTTGGGTCGAAGAGCGCAAGGATATCCCCTGCTTCCTGGCGGCCATGACGCTGGATTTCTACGATAAAACGACCCGGGCCGCGCGCATGTAGAAGATCGCTCCGCGACTCGTGCAGCAGTAGTAGTACACACTCTTCAGATCCCATCTCTATTTCTGTGTATTTGATTAGCTCAATAGCCCAAATGATTCCCCCCCGGCACAGGCATCGCTGGTGCCGTGTTTGTTATACCGTTGCAACGTCTCATAGTCTTGGTCGTGTGTCTTTGTCACAAAATTAGGGCATGTGTAGATAGTCCGCAGTTTCCGTACACGAGTGCAAGTCAGACGCACACCTTGTTGAGCATAGTCACATCACAAGAAGCCACGTGAAATTAGCTCGTGGACTAAAAGATCCTTAAGTTGTTTGGGATAGAACGTGGGCGTTCATGGAAGTATTACACCAAAAAGAAATGCACGACGTAGAACTTGAGCATTGAGCATTTACAAGGCATTAGACATATCCACTGATTCTGACAAAGGAACGGAAGGAAGGATTATTGTTTTACACCACTTCGAGTCCGGGAGGAGGAAATGAAGCTTATAAAGGGAAATAATCTTGAGGGAATAATAACATGGCAGATAGAGAGGAACATTGACATAGTGAAAAGATATAAGGAAGGCAGATAGAGAAATTGCGCTGTGTGGTTGGTGCGGGGACTGTACAGGCACAGACAGGTACAGGCGGGGGAGATAAACACAGTACGAGCCACATTGTTACCCAACCATGTACTGCAACACCATGGGAATATATTCCAATAGCTTTGGGTAATACCTGCAAAATGCAGTGCTGGGCATCCCAGGTGCCGGTTCGGAGACACTTCGGGGGGGTTTGGCTCATTGCACATATGTACTGAAGCTTTCGGGATCGTCACAGACTCAACCTTCAAGACGAGACATACTTGGCTGCGACCAGTTTGCGCAGAGTTGGGACTCTACTCCACTCGGAAAACGAGCCCGCATCCGCAGTCGGCGTTCCCGAGTTATCGTCTGCAAAAGGATCAGTGCTCTTCTGTACGCTTTGTTCGGGTGAAGAAGCGGTGCTGATTCCTAATTGGGTTCCATCTTCGATCCTATGCACCTCGAATCTCGTATCCACTTTACCCTTCCGCGGCCCACTGGTTCCGGTCGAGAACCGAACGAGAAACTTGCCATCAGATCCTGCTGTGACATCTAGTTCAGGAAGCCTCCAAGTCACTGCTGACTGCTTGCGTCGGAACGTGGCTCCCGTGTTGGGGTACATGACAGCAGCTGTGGCATGGGCCACCTCTCGGTCTTCAAGGGGAGATGTGTCAAGGTTGACAGTCAATAGTAAATTTTTGACGTTGATCGAACTTCCCTTTGGGAATGACGGGTTGGCGGAGTAGAAAATGATCACACTGGCCTGCATATCCTCGATGTTCCAGACTGGTTTGAAGATGACTGGGCAATAACTCGAAGCATTCGCTGGGTCAAAATGAATCTGGTACTTGAAAGCCACGGTCGGCGAGGGGCGAGTGATGCCACTTAGGTTGATTTTGTACTGGCCTCTTTGCTCATCCGATAGCTCCTTGTTCTTATCTTCGCTCACAAAGTGTGGGTTAGCGGCCACTTTTTCCAATATTTGGAAGTTGTCAAGCCGAACTCGAGCAGTTTCTGCCGGCGTGTCGGGAATAGGGTTGTAGGCCAGAGCAAGTTCACCAATAACGTGTGTCTTTGTTATGGCTCCTTCAGAGAACCATGCACTGACGGTGTCTATTATCGAAGCATTGAGACCGGGTCCGTGAAGCTCTGGGTGGGCGACAATGCCCGCTGCGCTATGCAATGTATGCCCCGAGCGAATCGACGTGGTGTCGGAGAGCGTATGGTCATCGGTAGCGGCAGTGGGTGAATGGACATGCCTCGAAGGCGCTGAGGGAGAGAGTGGCACAGGAGAATCAGATGCTGAGGGCGAGACAGGGTTCTCGCTCCCGGGGACAGGGTTGGGAATGAAAACCGTGTTGCGGACGTCACGCCGGCCGCGCAGAGTACCTGCATTGCGCCTCGTTCCTGATTGTTGAGCCCGCTAAGCAGGGTATTAGCACCTCTCCAACTACGTAGTACTTATGTGTCATGAACTCACAAGTCTAAGTTGGTTAGCCATATCATCCATTGCCTGTTTAGCCTGATCTTCATCCTCGAAGATCGGCTGGTCTCGGATCGTCAGATTTATGCCACTTTCTTCCAAACTGCGATGATATTAGCCTGCAATGAAAATTTGAACAGCATGGCGCGAAATACATACCCAGCCGCTTCTCTTTGAGCCCGTGTAATCTCGTCGATGGTATCTGGGCGCTCCGAGAAACCCTCCGAGTCTACTCGTGGCTGGACAGGGTATCAGTGAGGATCTTCTGAAGTATTCCCAGGTGCGACTTACCTCATTCGGAACGGTAGAGCTCGCCTCGTTAGGGGTCTCATGGAGGGCTTCCCCATTAGCCATGGCAGGTGCTGGTTGAGAGACTGGACCAGATGTTGATCTATTGAAATCTTCTTCATGCTCGGGGAATTCGCCTGGGATATTCAAGGATCCAGCATGACCCTCTTGAGTACTCAAGGCAGTGCCGGGACGATCAGATCCTTCTGGAGGAGTTTCCGGAATCTGCAGATCGCGCGAATCCCCTCTCTTGAAAGAAGCAAATGGGCTTCGGTGTTTCTTATCTGAGAAAAATGGACCACCGCCGGAAGGCTGTACAATACTCCGACGTCGGTTCATCACCGTACCTAGTCGTTTCAACCCCCCAAGAGGAGTGCTGTGGCGAGGCTCAGGAACTAGGATTGACCAATCAGTATATCATGCATAGAAACAGCAGGCTCCCTGGCAGCCGAGACTTAATACTTACCGGGAGGCGCTCTGGCTGGTCCCGACGTTTCCGAGCGCTGGCTGGCAGCATCATCCTGAAGGTGCGGCGGAGGAGAGAGCGGGGCTACGGGAGGAGGGGAGGCGGCCTGCTGTCTCCGTGGAACAACTGGTCGTCCCCCGTTGATTTTCGCGGCGAATGTTTTGATTTCGTCTGCGGTTTCAACGTTGAGAAGAACATTCAAACAGCTCTCAGCCGCCTGACGGCTGCGTTCCACCTGATCGGACTCATGGGTCTCCAATTGAGTCAAGACGTCCCTTAGGTGGTTGAGGCGACTCTCATCTGCCGCCTGCAGCTGTTCAAAAACAAACGGGGCCCTGGAGTCCCATTGCTGGCTGATCTCCTCGGCAGCAGCCACGGCACTGGCTAGCTTGTCTGCGCCCTTGGGGCCCTTTTCCCTGGCTTTCTCAACCTTCTTCTGCGCCGTCTCGTAATTCTTCGCCAATGCTGCGAGATCACTCTGGATTCCAGGCATCGATGATAGTTCACGGCTTTTGCTGTTGTATTCCCGCAGAGGTCGTTCGACATCTTCATCGATCTTTTGCGCGAAGGTTTCGTGGGAGAGCGCTATGGATTCAGTAGCACTGACGATGCGTTGCCATGGGATCTGAAATACGCTGCGGTGCGATGTACATGTTAGCTTCCATAAACTTAAACGTGCCCGGATGATTAGCATTACCCCAGCGCAGCTCCATTGTCTAACTGTGGGCGATGCGCAAGCTTCCTCAAGCCTTGAGCATATACTTCTTCGATGCGTCGACGTTCCTACAATTGACACCCCGAGGCGTTAGACCGGCAATTACTAGCAAGGGAGGGGGTTTGAGGGGTAGGGGAATCTTTACCTGGAGCCAGTCCGCAATGTCCGCATTGATTTTGTTTATGGTGCGAATGCGCTCGTTAAGCACATTGGTCGCCTGGCTGGGCTGCAAAGAGGCCTATGTGTAGAACAATGAAAAACCAAATCAGCTATTTGCGCGATAGCACTGATTGTGGTGCAGATTTGCAAGGTGGGGGTTGGTTGGGGCAGGGTGTTGCAATGGAGTTGATCGTACCAGCAGCGCCGGATACTCCTGCCGAGAGAGATCCATTACTTCTCATAGATCACAGCTGCGAGGATACAAAATTCGGAGGCGCATAATAAGAGCTCAGCTCGAGAGGAATGAATGAGCATCAACACAGTGATTGTTCTAAAGCGACGGAGGGAAGGAAAGCCGGAGGTGCCGACAGGCGCGTTAAGGCACAAATGATGGCGGTGGAGTTGAGGGAGGGAAGAGGAGGAGGTGACGGACGGACCGGAGGGGGGGGGAGAACGAGGATGGATGGTGATGACGATGACGGGCGGACTGACTGCAACGCCCGACAAAAGGCCAGGCGGAGGAGCCGAACTGGCCGAGTCCGCAACAGGTAGCACACTAAACCACTTCAGACCAAGTGTAGCTGTCACATGTCCCCCGCGACCGCCTGAACGCCTCGATAGTTACCGTACGGCTCTTACCGTCGACTCTTGGCCTGGAACAATCCTCTTCAACAGCCTTTCGTGTATTTATATTGGAAACTCATTGGTAACCCATTTAAGACGAGCTCCGCTTCGTTCGCACACAATTCTGGGTCTTACTTCACTTCTGTTTCTGATTCCCTCTGATTCCCTCAATCTTCGGAGACGGCCAATTAGACAGCAATGGAGTGGAAGAGAAATCTAGGCTTCTCCGAGCGATTGACGGCGATTCAATCACTGTATGCCTTCAACTACTCTTCCCCGGACTCTGGCTTACTTAAGATAGTACAACTGCCTTCCAGCGAGCTTCATCCTCCGCTGCATTTACAGAGGCCCAATCCCAGGCGAGGAAATGTGAAAACGAAGCTTATGATCGAGCTTCATCGCGCGTCAGTTCTTTCCTGCTGTGATCATTACTCCCGATTCTCATTGTTGAGTGCGTAGGAAGAATATAACAGGCTTTGCCAAGAAGCAATTGACGCAGCAGAGGCCATCGACTCGGTAGCCCTTATCGATAATTGTCCAGATCAACTTCTAGAGGAGCCAGACAAGTCTGCTCCAGGTCATGGCGAGGTGATTGGTCCATATCAGTCGTGCTTCCATCATTTCGATGGCCTCCACTCGACTGTTTACAAATCGCGGCAAGCAGACAACACTGTGGTCGCGCTCAAAGTGCTCATCCCA